ATAACACCAAGAGGAAACAGTCCATTGACTGCACTCTCAGCCATAAAGTTGCCCTTAAATGGTTCCGGGATCTTTATGAGCTGCACAAGTAACCCTCTTCCTTTAAAGCAAACTCCACCTTGTTCCCACTTCTCGTCAACTCCAGTTTCAAAGCAGGCAATGTTACACATCTTCCCTGGAACGCACTGACTCCATCGCACCCGCTCTCCAATTCCACAGGCTGCTCATCACAGGCCTCCACTGGTCTCATGTTGCATCTCTCTGGGCAGCTGCGGCTTCTTTGCTTTTGGAGGCTCCAGTCGTTGATGGGACGAGCTTCTCCTTTACTTCCTTAGCTTGCATGAAGGCCGAATCCCCCGAGAGGCCGTTCACATTCCCTTCCAGCCAGCAAAGGAAGCAAACAAAATGTTGCGCCGGTCAAGTGTGCCGTCCTGACAGCGCTAAGCATAGTGTACAGTACTGGTCATTACAGTTAATAAAACACCTCCTACATGTTTGTTCAGAGAAGTTACCTAATGTACACCAAATCTGTGATGGTTGGGACAAATGTTCCTGACATATTGATGTTGTGTGTCAGGCAATTCTTTAAAATCAAGTATAGACGAGTCCTAAAAATAAAACCCAAATCAGAAATAATAAACGCAGGTATAATTTAATTTGACCCCAAGTAACTTGGTCTTTAGAGCATTATTTTACAGTTTAATATCATTTACTCTAAAACTGTAAACTGTAAACATTTTGATGGTCCCACAGGATGCATTTGGTAACTTAGCAAGTATATGTGAACTTGTTCAATTGGTCCAACTAATTCTGGTCTACTAACAATCTCCAAAAAGAAAAAAGAAAAACATTACGATTTTGTCAATAGCTAATGTAATAACAAAATAAGACAGTTAAATAGGTCACATTTGACGTACATTTGGTATGCACTTCCAAGCATTTCTACTGAGAAAAAGAAATAGTACATTTAAGTCCATTAATTAACATTACAAATATACGACCTCTGATTTCAGGGTAAGGATTTACGTTAACACAAAGCAAGATTCCTAAATGCTTTTAAAGTATTCAGCAAATGTTAAACTAATTCTAACAAACTTATACTTGCTGTAATTTGTTCCCAACATGTAAAAACGATTGCCTGAATATTCGATTATAGCGGCCCTAACCGGGTCAGTCAGTGAGAATGAATGAGTACATTAACACCAGTCGGCTTGGACTCATCAGGGTGTAGGAGAAGCGGTGAACACACTGACCGTCTGTCTGTCCTGCAGGTCACGCTTCACTGCTGACCCCTGACCTCATTTGTATGCATGGAACTCCGGCGGCTGTGATCCAGAGGATGCCGGAGCACTTCTAGGCTACGTCCTGCGAGGGCAATGTGACCTTGTGTGTGTATGCCTGAGGGAGAGAAAGAGAACGTGAGAAACAGTCACTAATGTCTTACAGAAGCCACGTTTCATCCTAAAATATTTTTTTTTACTAAGCTATAAGACTTCTCCCTTATCCCCAACAGTGTACTGCTGTGTGTGTACTATCACAGTAAAACACTGCTGTCTACAGTCTAGATCCAGAACACCGCTATGAATCTAATCTATTTTGACCACAGGGTGGCGTGTGTTTTCTATGTGGACAGGACATAAAATAGAAAGTGACAAACTGCAGGTTAGAAATTATAATACAGATATTTACTGTGTAAAACAAATAGCCAAGCTATATTTAACAAAAATATACTTAGATATAGCCTAAAATAGTCTACGTATTAAAGAGTCTATTCACTCAAAACTGATAATGCCATGCTAAAAGTCTCATGAACCATCAATGTCAGATTTTTTTTTGAATAATAAATAATGTCTTGGTTGGTTCATCGCTGAACTTTATTTTACAACACATGAATTACAGTGGAAGTATTCTGCACATGTATGGAACAATCCTATTATACTTTTAAGTAATTGTTAAAAGAGTCTGCCATTATTTGGAATTATCTATAATTCTCTTTAGTGGTCCAAGAAGAATAACTTGTATATGATGACTGAGAGAGCGCAAGAGCACTGCAAGAATAAATATGGAAAAACACAACCTGCTTGGGAAAGCGACTCCATTTCCGGGACATTTTGTCCAATTTACAGGAGCCATTATGGATTTCCCAAGTTCTCCTGAATGTTCTGGATGTCTGGGTTCTGCGCTATTTGCAATGCATTTCTGTGTTTGCATGTGTTGTGAGAGTTTAATACTGATGATGTGTTTAATTTGTTAGTGTTTTTTTTTTTATTTGCAGCACATTTGTCTAAACGAAGGTGAGGGAATGATGCAAGTACTCAGTCAGGAAAAGCACACAACTTATAAAGAAATCAGAATAAATGAAAACGTAACAAAATACAACTTACAGTTTTCTTTGAAGAAATATGTTTCTGTGTTCGCTCATTCCACTGTAGAGGGTAAAGGTCTTCATCTGTGAAGTCCCTATACGAAAAGCTTTACATTTTCACAGACAACTGAACAACCACAAATCAACCATGATTTGCAACACTAACCGTACACTGTAAAAAAAACAATTAGTAATTTTACAGCTTATTTCTGCCAGCTGGGATGCCGTAAAAGAAAGCTACGGCATAAAAGAAAGAACGGCCACAAAATACAGAAATTTACTGTGAAATAACACAGGTTGAATTTTGGGGGAAATTACAATTTAAGGAAATTTCTGTAATTTAATGTCTGTTATTTTATGGTAAATTTACAGCACCCTAGCTGCCGGAAATAAACTGTAAAATTATGGATGTTACACTGTTTTTACAGTTTAGCTTCAAGAGTTGACACTTAAATATGCTTGACGCTAATAGCAGGTTTGACATGCTGTCCTGGGAAGAACCCTGAGCTCGGAGATAACAGAGCCCAGGGCTCCCGCCTGGTCAATAACTATGTAAAGGAAGGTCTCGAGAGCTCCCCCTGGTAAAGGGAGAAAAAGGAGGAGATGGTGTGGTAGGAGTGATTCTTCCAAAATGAAGATAAGGCAGTAGGGCGAAATCTGTATTTTTCTTGTAGGCTTGAATCAATCTGATTGGATTATTGCTTATTATGGATAAGGGGCCAGCAGCGATCAATATTATCACATGCTCCTGTCGAAATTAGTTTGTAAAACTTCACTTAACTATGGTAATCCCCTTCTCCTATATACATGTACAATAAAAACAAAGTTTTTCAAAAAAAACAAGTTTATTCAGTCATGTAAACAGAGAAAAGTTACACAATAAAATGTACATATGCTTCAGTATTTGAGAAATGTTATTGTCCATAACATGCATTTATCAAGTGACAGATAATGACGTGTTCATATATTCAGAACTAAATAGTGTTAGTGATGGTAAGTACCATCTTAAAAGGAAAACTTATTTTTATTTATTAAGAATTTAAAAAAAGATTTTTATCATTGCAAATCATAAGAACTGCATTAATATGCTAATATTATCATCATCTTTTCTCATTATCTTAGTTTAGTAAAACAAGTGATAAATGAAAAACATTTGACTTTTGTAAATACTAGCATTCAGCTATTCTGCAAATGATATGTAAGTTATCTGACATGCATGTTTATTTTATTCGCATTTGTCCTCAGTGCTTCTAATTGTCCTTCTCTCTACTCATCACCCTTGGATTAAGTTGGTTTGCATTTCACAAAGAAATATAAAAGAGTGAAAGAATTTCTCAGTGCAACTGATTTACTTAATCAAACTGGGCCTAATTAGACAGGTTTTGAAAGTTGTCCTCAAACATACAAAATGTCTCACCAAGTTAATTAAAAAAATATGAAAAGTCAAGCAAATAAAAAATACCAAGAAACAAAATAAATAAATAAATGCTGTATAAAGGCTGTTAAAAGTTAATTAAATGTATGAGTGACTGTAAATGCCGGATGAGTACGTATACTGTAAAAACATGACAGGGATGCTAGCGGTCTAGGCACATTTATGTCCATATCATACACAGTATGCTTATAAAAGTTGAATGCAGTATCCCAAGACAGCGCATTTGTCTTCTTTTTTTACTTCTGTCCCTAATGCAGCCATGCATGTAGACTCCTTTGCATAGATGACCATCTAAATCTTATCACAACATGACTGGCCTGAAAAAAAATGACGTTCAGTTGCACATCTGGCTCATAATAAGGGACAACTAAATAAAGTAAAGAAAATAAATCCATCATAACAAGGCGAGGATTTCACAGATTACATACCTGCAATTAATAACTGACAGGTACACTCCCTTCTTTGCACAATAACAGCTCTTTAGAAATGACAGAATCCAAATTTACAGCATTTTTAGCATGCTAACATTTCATATTTTATATTCTGGGTTAAACTGGACTATTCCTTTATTTTAAAATAGATACAAATCTATTATTTGGGCCAACTAGATATTTTTTTGTAATTGAAGTTTAAAATACTATCAGAGTGAATCAAAAAGCCTTTTAGTAAAGTATGTATAAAAACATAGATAATATTACATGTTTTACAGTGAACTCTTAAGACTAATTCAATTCTCATCAGTAGCTGATTTAGCCAGTGTTAAAAAAGGTTAGTGCAAAATCTGAGCAATACTATTATTATGAACACTATCCTGGATTTTTAAAGTCATGTTAAATGCAATAAAGTAAGCTCCTACAAAACATGAAATATACTCTGAAAACAGGACTTATTTTAGGCTAAGCCTATGCCAGGTGTCATGACAAGTTAAGTTTTTACCTTATGTTATGCCTCTTAGTTAGTTGTGAATGATTAGTAATCATTACTGTGTACTAATTGTAACTAACAATTGTACAAACTGTACTAATAATTAATTGTTTGTCATGGCAGGTTCTGAGCATCTTGATGCGCCAGGAGCCCAATCATTTGCATTGTCATTCCACAAACAATCAGATCGTCTTCTCAAGTGCAACACTGAGAGGCGCCATCGATTGTTACCAATATTTTAGACTACAAGTCACCGCAGTGAATTTCTTTCATTACTGGCTATTCTGTGCCAATGAACTCTCATTATAATGGGGCTTCCTCTAGATTGAGTTTAAACAACATCTTGAACCTACTACACAATGGACTCCCTCAAGTTGTCTGCAGCGGTTGAGGATTCGGGAACAGGAAAAGGGGCAGAATGCAGGACCACATCGCTCTGAACCTTTACCGGAGGACGTTTAGCTCCAAACTGGGTTTTCCCATGTTGAGAGAACGAGCAACCCACAGGATGGTCATCCTCAACGGCCTGATCTCCATAAAGACTCCTCATGTTCTCAGCAATCATGCCTACTTTCTCTGGAGCTTCTCCGGTTGGTTTCTTTGAGCCTGTCTTGTCTCTGTACATGTATGAGGCCTGTTTGACGCAGCGTTTGAGGATGTGCGAGCGATAGGCTCTTTGAATGGTGGAAGCAGCCACTTCTTCTTGTTTTCGTTTGAGAGTGCTGGTAATGGGCTCATAGGAGGCCTTGGAAGGGTTGTTTGCCATGAACTTCTCCTCCATAGTTGCTTTCATACCATCCATCTGGTCAGAACCACCCAGCACTTCTCCAGTGAGTGCCAGGAGGAGGTCAAGACAGTGGATCTTATCCCCCGTAACCATGGGAATATCCATTGTAATCAGCTTGAGGGTGTTCGGTTTGGGGATTCTCAAAGGGTCTTTTAGCGTATCGCAGAATTCCGACAGTCTATTGTAATCAATGAACTGAGAGGCGGTGGGGTCGAATTTCTCCCAAGTTTCATAAAACATCTCAAAGTCATCCTCGCACAAGGGGTCGCTGCTTTCTTCCGTTGCTACGTTGAAGTTTTCCAGGATAATGGCTATATACATGTTGACCACAACGAGGAAGGACATGACAATGTAGCTGCAGAAGAACACGATGCCCACCGCCGCGTTCCCACAGTTTCCTCGGGTAGTTGAACCTGGGTTATCCACATCCGGATCGCAGTCTGGTGGGGAGTTGAGAATAGGCGCCAACAGTCCATCCCAGCCAGCGGATGTAGTGATCATGAACATGCATATGATACTGTTCCCGAAGGTCTCGAAATTCATCATGTCGTCAATGCCGACTTCTTTTTTCACATACGCAAAGTTGGACATGCCGAATATGGAGAAAATAAACATGATTAGGAACAGGAGGAGGCCAATGTTGAAGAGGGCAGGAAGTGACATCATCAGCGCAAACAGTAATGTTCTGATTCCCTTCGCACCCCGAATGAGCCTCAGGACGCGGCCAATTCTGGCCAATCGGATGACACGAAACAGGGTAGGTGACACAAAGTACTTCTCAATAAGGTCTGCCAGCCCAATACCTGTGAGACGGCAAAACAAAATTACAAGAAAAGATTATTGTCCAGTCATATTTACCAGAAAATGTAATTTAAAAAAACAGCAATGGAAAATTCATAATATAATATAATTTGTTGTTAGTTTAATATGTTTTTAAAAAACATGTGCTTCATTTTCAAGAAAGACTACATTAAATGTCATGTACGGCAAGTGAAAGATTAATATATAATGACTTTTTATAATCCAGCAGGGCTTCTGATCATTCTAAGGTGTGTGTTATTCAGGGAACTGCACAGAATAAAGTAGTGCCTGGCAGAGCATTGACTGAATAACAATTCTATATCATTACATGTAGTAGTATAAACCCCATCGCACACCAGTCACAAAGCAACATACCGTTTAGAATATTAAACATTGAGGGTATAACACACCAGCTCCTGCATTCGGAATCTGTTCACTTTGCTTAGTTGTGTATAGAAAATAATGTAAAAACTGATGCGAGTTACAGAGGGCACGACTGGTGTGTGATCCCCTTAAACCAACTCAGGCTCATTCTGAAAACGTGCCGCTATATACATTTCTAAAGAGCGCCGAATATGTCCCAGGAGGTATGTTTTTTTTTTGTTGTTGCAGTTTTTGCTTTCGCAAATCCACCAGAGGGCACTGTGTACTCTTTTTAAGATCCCGAATTTCTCTTGCGACTGTTATCAAGTAAATCCACCAGAGATCGCTGTCGACTTACTGACTGATCAACTGACCCCCTATCCTCCTTCCCTAAACCCAACCAATAGTGTTTTCAAAAGCACTGATTGACCCGCCCACCCACTTCCCTAAACCCAACCGACAGTTTTTAAAATCAATTCAGAAAAAGAAAAGCCCTCGACTGACTTTTACCACATTTTCACCCTGTAATTTACCTGTTTATTTTATTTTTTTGGCTTCTGTTTATGTCTTACCAGCTTTCTATAACCGTTCTTTGTCGAATTCGAACCCTGTCGTCATAGTCATTTTCTCTCTGTGTCTCAAGTCCACTGATGTACATGGCGAGCTACTGGACAAACTGTTAACAGCAGGAAAGCTGGTAAGCATGAACAGCAATAGCATCATACTGCTGCTTAGCAATTGTTTTAAAGATGAATTTCAGCCATACGTACTTCTGGCTACATAATTTGTGATGTTCAGAAATGTATATAGGGCTACATTTTCAGAATAAGCCTATGTTGCCTTAAAGGTTCAAGAAACCCTGGGGTACTTTGTTTGAGATTTTGACAGATTTGTGTGTGTTGCCCATCAGTTAAGACAACGTTAGCACCTGTTAGCTTTAATTGTGGGGAAAACTGGATAATTTTGAGCTTTTGACAGCTAATTTCATCTTCCAGGTTTAAAATAATTTTTGGGGCGGGATCAAACTTAGTGGCGTAGCGCAAAACTGCAAGTGTAGTGATGATGCATCGGTTTCTCATTATTATTCATAGGGGAGTTTTTTTATCCTATGAGAAGAGCCTGCTTCTTAATTATTCATGAGAGCACGTGCTTTCCGAAGGCTAAGCAGACCTGCCAAGCTGGGAGACCCATAGACTAGGTGAGACACGGGTCGTATGTGTTTGTTTCCAAGATCCACGGGGTTTGTTGCATGTTTTCCCCTGCGATTCTGTCAGGGCCGATACAGCAAAGCTGTTGGTTTGCAGCAAGTATTTTTTTGTCAGGAGAGCTGTACAAAAATTAGTGAATGGCACACTTTGCCGTTTATCAGTTGAGTTCGTTAAAGTCAGTTGGTTCGTTATTCAAACACATCGCCTGTATCCATGCTGCTGAGTTCGCACATGTTTAAAATCCTCCAGATTACCGGCAGGGTTAATGGTTGGAATAGACAGGGCAAGAGACTTGCTGCACTGCTATCCACTGTTTCTGCATTCAGACATGGGGATTGAGAAGAAGAGAAGTCCTCCTCATTTATAGTGTTTATATAAAAATTGTAATGTGTATATGAAATTACGAATAACATATGTAGCAGGCCATTATATTACTTACTGTTGATTTCTTTGCATTTTAACTTTGTAAACTAAAAAATAATGGGTCTCCTCATGATTTGTGTCTCATTATGTGAGCCAAATGTTTGCTCCACTCTTTTTCCCCTGCGCTGCCGGTGCTACCTCATCAGAATGTGCTACCGGTAGCTCAATCTGTCATATTTCATCTAAAAAAATAGGGTTTGCACATCCTGTCAGTTTCAAATGTCTATCAGACTGAACTACCTCCTTAATGTAGGGTGTAAAAACAGGAGTGGTGCATTTTGTCAGCTTCAAATGTCAATCAGAATGAACTACTAATAAATTAAATATAAAACTAATGAAAAAAACATTTAAGGCAGTAGATTACTCTGGTAGACATTTAAAGCTGTTATGCCTTTTTCTATATTGTTCAATAGAGTAGTAGTTAATTACAATAGATATTTGAAGCTGACAATATGAGCTATCCCTGTTTTTACATCCTTATTTTATGTGGTAGTTCATTCTGATAGACATTTGAAGGTGACAAGATGTGCTACCCCTGTTTTGGTAGATAAAACATGACAGATTAAGATACCAGGAGCACATTCTAAGGAGGTAGCACAGATCGTCAGAACAACGGCCACACCCACTCCCCCCTTTCCCTGCAGAGCTCCACGCCCATCTCAGAGCTTGACTTAAACTGAAAGAGGGAGGGTTTCATGGCCCTTTAAACTTTACGTTTTACTTTACACTAAACTTTACTTGACAAACTTGGGTGTGCATTTTTTTTCTATTACTTATTGCTTACATACTTTTTAAATAACAGCAATTGAGTGCATTTCCCTCAATTTAGATACTATTACATTCCCACTATTTGAACATTTCCATTACAAATATTGGAACTGTAGAGATAAATCATTTAGGAAATAACTTCTGCATTGATTCTGAGATTTTAAAAATGCACCACTATCCTTTTTTCACCACAGCTATAAAATGATCAGTTTTTTTTAAACCTGCATGACCCAAACCAGGTCATGATGATGTTATATAAAGTTGTTGATTTCATCAGAAGGTTTTGCAGAATAAAATGAATTAGTTATTATTAATTAATGAATAGATCAAATCATGATTACTATTAATAAACCAGATTTACCTAATATTGAAAGAATGACCACCACAAAATCAAAAATGTTCCACCCAATGGAGAAGTAGTGGTAGCGCAGTGCAGTGATCTTGAGAACACACTCCCCGGTGAAGAGTATGATGAAGGCGAAATTGATATAGAACAATATTTCCTCTATCTCAGCACTTTGGTCGTCAGTCTCCACCATCATGGTCACCATGTTCAGGCAGATCATCACCATAATGAAAATATCGAAGAACTGCTGTGTGACAAAGTCGAAGACCAAACCTTGGCAGCAGTTCTTCAAACATCAGAAATATCCCATGGAGGAGAAAGAGCAGTTAGTAAGTGAAATAAGTAGCATATAAACTTTAAGTCTATTCATTTTAAGAATAATCTGAAAATAAAAAAAGACAGTATATTACCGTGGGCCTTGGAATTGGTTTTTGGGGTTTTTTAGATCCAAGTTTCTTCATGGCATTGTAGTATTTCTTCTGCTCTTCTGTCATGAAGATATCGGTTCCTCCTAAGTATAGACACAGAAACAATTATTCTAAAATAGAAAACATTTGAGTGTTTCTCTAGATCCAGAAGGCCAAATGCTGACACTTATCTTTGCCTTTTGTTGGTTGAAATTGTCAATGATTACGCCGATGAACAGATTGAGGGTGAAGAATGAGCCGAAAATGATGAAGATGACAAAGTAAATGTACATGTAGAGGTTTGCCTCATATACTGGCTGCGATTCAATCTACACAGAGAACAAAAACAAGGAGTCAGCAGAAAAACAGCACTGCAAGAATTATCTTTATGTTTATTAGATGACAAATAGGAATGCACCGAACTGAATGAAACTGTAAATTAAAATATTAGATGCACTATAGCAAAATGCAATAATATATATATATATATATATATATATATATATATATATATATATATATATATATATATATAGTATTTTGTATATATGTTTACAAATATTGTATGATTATTACATGGTCTGTCAAAATTCTGATTGCCTGAAAGGTGTGCAATAATATAGTTTAAAGAACATGTAGTTCCCATATAATATAATAAAAAATAATAAAATAATATGCTTCCCTGAAACATTAGTTGTAACCATGGCAAATCATGACAGTTGGCAGAGCCTTCATTCATCTTTTTAATCTTAAGGACACTGATTTACCAGGGGGCTTGTGTTTATCAACTAACTCAACATTATGCTCAGAAGTATTTGTGAAGAGGTAGCTAATGCATGTTACTATGAGCTATTAGATATGCCTATGTCATATACATCTCTCTCGCACGCATGCTCTCTCTCTCTCTTTCTCTCTCTCTGTCTCTTTCTGCCTGTGACTGACTAAACAAGGACAAAACTGACAAAACATTGGTCAAACTCTGAGTTGCATGGAGCAATATTAGTCGTAAATTATCTATATCTTGACAAATCACCACAGAATAAGCAGGATAATCAGCTTTCCATGTGTTAAAGGATTTTAAATGCACTTTTTGTTGTTTGATGATTCTTGGCTATGCGCTGTAGAAATTGAATGTTTTACAACTTTTTTGAATGTACTGAAATGGTTTAAATCTTTTTGCTGATGTCTTTTCATGTTTGAAACACTGATTGATTACATTAGACATACTGTACACTCCAGTAAGTCTCTCTACATCCTTCAGTATACTTTTTAATTTAATAACTCTATATTTGTTTTGCCTCTTTTTAACTTTCCCATGCTTCATTTCTGTACATTCTCCAGTTTGTTTGCACACAATAGATATCAAAGAGTTCTAAACTACCGTCAGTGAAAACATTAATAAAATATTGCATGTTCAGTCAACAGTTTTTTGACAAAAAAAAATAATATTATGAACTGAATAGCCTACTCAACAGAAAAAAAGCAATAATTTCAAAATTGCATGGTGATTATATAAACCTATATTCACGATTTTACATAAATCAACATGCCAAAAATACATATTTTTTTCTTTGCATAGCAAATTAACATGCAACTTCACTATTGCATGAATATGATACATTAAATAACAAAATGTGATTTAATTAAACAAATTAAACATATATATATATATATATAAATACATTTATTTTAAATAAAATGAAAGAACTAAAAATTAAACCAGCTCAAATGTTCTAGAATTAAACGTGTTACAGTAATGTACATATATACAAATATGTAATGTCCAAAAAAAAAAGCATGTTGAGAGGTGTTTTGACAGTTCAGAGCCACAGTACCAGCAAAAAACTAAATACAGTTAGTATGTTTTAATTTAGAAAATGCAGCATACATTTGTCCCATTTGGGGTTTTAGATTCTTTTGAACATATGTAGGTGCTGCTTGTAAATCAGACAATGCTTCTATGTTTGTTATTGCTGTCAACTGTGAAAATAATGATCAATAAAAAGTTCTGTACAATTGCATAATCTATCAGTTTAAATATATTGGCGTAATTTTGATAATGGACCTTTAACGGTAACATTAAAAATAGCATCAATCGGCCGATATCGATATGGTTGCCAATATATGGTGCATATCTATAACCAACATTTCGGTGCATTCCCAGAAATCATACAACCAGTCATGATTGTGCCACTAAATCTCTTTAGGTGCAATCACATAACCCAAAATTAGAAAAAATACCAGCTGTCTGTTGTTAACAGCAAAACCAAATCATACAGAAGTCCCTGTCAAATAGGGCTGGGCCGCTAAACGATATTATAATGAATAGCAATCAAATTAATGTCAATAACACTGAAAGTTCTAGACTGTATTGATCTAAGAGCCAATCACACAGCAGAAATGTGCAATGATAGGAATCTAAAAGTGTGTTGATATTAGAGATGCATCGAATTTTTGGCCAACCCTCTAGTTTTAATGGCTTTAGTCATTGTTAGGGTACTCTTTTAAATCTGGAAGAAAAAAAAACTTATATCAAAATATATATCGTTATCGCTTAATATAAAAAAATAATCATCGAGATAATCATCGCCCAGCCCTACTATCAAACCAAGCAGCTTTTGTGTTGATCAGCGCTGAAAATGTACATGCCCAACTACAACAGGGGTGAAAACTGCATGGTGAACTCCTGATCCAAACAAACTGGTACTGGAATGGTAAATGTGACCGTACATTTGTTTTATGGTTAAAATCAACGTACGGCACGTGAATCCACAGCACTATACATGATGTCCATCCATCCTTTAAATGTTGCCTAGAAACCAAACAAAACCACATTTTTAATACATCCAGTTTTGTATATTTGATTTTGCCGTGTACACATGTTGATGATTAATATCAGCGCTCACCACTTGCAGTAGGGCGAGGTAGCCCATGCCCACATTATCAAAATTGATCTTTCCGTTCATCCATCGCACTTCGGGATGAAACTCCATAAGCTCATAGCAGTCAGTCTTATTGTTGACCACATTGTGATCGAAGACCTCCTCAGATGTTTCATTGAAGCAGTAGTAGAACTTTCCAGCAAAAAGGTTGACTCCCATGATGCTGAAGATGAGCCAAAAGATCAGGCACACCAGGAGAACGTTGAAGATAGAGGGAATTGCACCCACCAGGGCGTTCACCACCACCTGTGCATATTGACAGGGAGACCTTGGAATAAGAGGTCTAACAGTACACAAAATTCAGGGTTTGGTTAAGTATGTAATATTTTAAGTCATGGGGCTCTACATTAACGATCTAGGAAAAACTCTAAAGCGCATAGCGCAAAAGCATTAAGGCCGTGTCTAAATCCACTTTTGCTATTTTAAAGCTGGAAAAATACGATTTGTGCCGTGGCGCATGGTCTAACAGGGTTGTGCTTATTCTTTTAATGAGTTAAGAGTTTTAAGAATAAACCAATCAGAGTCTCATCTCCCATTCCCTTTAAGAGTCAGTTACATCACGCCATGGCACATTTGCTATTTACATGGCAGGCTTTGTAAGTGGAAAAACTGAAAGCTTCACAAGCGTCCTACAGCACGAGGATAAACAATGAGCCTCCTCCAATCTGCCTTTTTCTCTCTTTCTTGGATAACAAAACGATGTTGTACGCACTCCACTGAAGACATCCATTAGTCTACATATTTAATTTTGTTAGTTAAGCGCAAAGATTTGTTTCAAAACTATTTCTAAAATTAGTTATAATTCCCAGCAAATGAATAATAAGATTAATAATAATAACATTTTACAAAAGAAAGTTGTCGTCAATAAACTACCCCTCCTCCCCCTCTTCCAAGATGAAGGCATGGAGGTAGTGGTTTTTATATTTATGTAGAAATATGCATTTTTTAAATATTTTAATCCTTTAATTCTTTTTCATTTGTAAAGATATTTGCATATTGCTGTGCATCCTGTGTGCATTAAGCAATGTGTAAGTGAGACGCACAACTAACGCACTCTGCGCTGGACTTTAGACCTGCTTTCAACTGGTCTATTGCACCGTCTATTTTAGATCCTTAAAATAGCAACGCAATAACAATGCGCCTTAACACACCTGTTTTCTAGACCGGAATACCCATGAGTCCATAAAATGGCGCAAATGGATTAGCTATTTGAACAATAAGGTGGAAAATAGAGAAAATTAAGGTTGTGCTGGTCAACACGTCGGGGCAAACACGTCTTGCACCTTATTGTGCCAGGTGTATGATAGGGCTCATGGTTGCTTAAACTTCAGTATGATTAGGGGAGAAGAAATTAATAACCTAAAATGGCTTGTTTTTATTGGTTTATATTAGTATAGTATATTATTATTATTATAGTTTATTAATTGCTTGTTTGGTTTAAATAAATAAAAAATACATGTATTGAAATATAAATTAATATAACATAGAGGTTTTACAGTAAAAAAAAAAACTATTTTTTAAATGTATTGATCAAAATATAAAAATGTGAAGTCCCCTTTAAAATTATATAAAGATATAATTAAATTGACAATATGGAAAGATTGGCTATTTCAGTCACTTGAAAAAAAGAAGAAACTATTTTTAAACATTTTTCCTCTGCATTAATAAAACTCTGCTACACATATGTGATCCTGGACCAAAAAACCAGTCATAAGTGTCAATTTATGCAGAGTTCAGACTGCATGATTTTAGCCCTGAATTTGCCGACAGGTAATGAGAAATTGCAGACAAATGCCTGAAATCACAGGCAAATCAGTGCTTGTTCACGTGACAATCACACAGTGTGAACTATTAAAGTCACAATCTAAGAGAAACGCAGATGAGTCTGCGATACCCATAAGATATTTGGCATGCTAAATATCTGGAGCTTTTTGCGACTCAAAATCGTGCCGTGTGAATGTGTTCTGACTGAAAATACTATCGGCGATCACCTACAGTCAACATTACATTCTACTCCAGTCATACATTTTCTACTCCACTAAAGGCTTCTTTATTATTATGTATTTAATAACAAAATATATACTACATGACCTTGCGTTGTTTCTCTGTCACTTCTCGTGTTTGTTTGGTTGTGAAACATAGTTTGCAGACCAAGACAAAGTTGTTGGCGATTTTCCAATTGTAAAGTCATACAGTGTGAAACCCCATGTCGTCAATCCAGCTTGCAGTGTAAACACAGCAGCGACAGAACACTACCCCAGATAGTTATGCAGTATGAAACGTATATGACGTGACTACTTTGAAAATCGTGCAGTTTGAACTCTTAGATTTATACAACAACTGAAATCTAAATAAAAATACCTTTCATTGATGTATGCTTTGTTAGGATAGGATAATATTTGACTGAAACAACTATATTGAAAATGTGGAATCTGAGGGTTCAAAATCAAAATGGCATTTAAAGTAGCCCAGATTAAGTTCTTAGCATGGACTTTTACTAATAAAATGTTAGTTTTGACATATTTACTGTAGGAAATGTACAAAGTATCTTTATGGAACATGATCTTAAACTTCTAATGAGTTTTGGCATCAAAGAAAATTATAATTTGGCCAAAAATATATCCATGCAAAGTAAGACTTAGTTTTGTGGCACAAAAATAACAGGATACTTTAAAATGGTATCTCTATTGAAAACAGAAGAAGAAAAAAGCTGAAAATATGACTAGTACACAATCATAGTACACTGAATATTAATTAAGGTGCTGTACTTCACTTATGGCCATGCGCAGACGTATATTTGTAAGTGCCGTGCTGCGTTGATTAAAGCAACACAGACTGTACAAGTGAGCATTTAATTCCAGTTTCTTTGCCAATATTTTATACGGATAATAGTAGGGTGCAATGTCAAGCAATTGCAAATGATTATGACCATGCAAGAGGCTGTGGCATAAACACAAATTGTGTAAAATTGTAGAAACATCTTAAAATCCACAATGAATTTGGTCATAAAACAGGAATAAGCAACAACCAGAGGCTAAACTAAGTTTGCTGTAAGTGTAGTGTACTCAAAGACCAACTGCATTTACCGTAGGGAATTTTCATTTTAAAACTGCATTTTAGAATGAAAACATAAAACAAATACATGTAACGTTACATCACAAGCTGGAAACTAATTTCCCTTGAGCTAAGAGGTCTGCACCTTTTAGTCTTCATTAGGAGAATACCCATGAAATGTGAGGATAAGGAGAATTACTTATATTATGTGTTGATAATTAACGATGCAAATGATGCAAAGGTGAGAGTTGCAAGCGATAAAACTTACCCTCATTCCTTCAAACCTGGAAAGAGCTCGAAGAGGCCTCAGCGCTCTCAAAGTCCTCAGAGACTTTATGGCCCCCAGTTCAGAGTAGCCTAAGATGTTCGCAGTCAGACTGATCAGGGATACCTGTAGAAATAATGAATGAAATGCTTGTTTTCTTTTTTTTATCAACAATACATCTTGCTGTCATAACTGAAATAAGCCAAACCATTGCATTTAAATACAAATGAGGGCTTTTCATACTGTGCTGTTACGCCCCATGTGGCTCGGAGGATGAAAAAGGGCTTAACATAATTATGACAACCCAATATTTTAAGAATTTAGCTTCTATGAATCAACATAGACAACGATGTGTTAAAAAAAGGTGGTTCGCTTTATTACAATAAAGATAAAGAAAAAGAATATTTAAACCACCCAAAATATATTTACAAATATGTACGATAAACGCAAAAAGTAAACAAACATTGATGGAGGGAAGTAAAATAAGCTGTGCCAAATCAAAGAAAATAACAAATTAAAGACCCGCTAACTAATCCCTCCTCCACCTCTAAATAACTAAAGAAAAATATGTAAATAAGAAAAAAATAACATCTTCAGCGTCACGGGCCCCTTACTCAACTGCACTTACTGGAACAAACATACACAGAGTAGCACCCGCTTCTAACCTAGTGGATTAACATGATTGTAATTCACGTGTAAGTCACGTGACATACTTCGCTTTTACTTCCCTTTTAGTACATTTAAGCAAATTTAGTATGCGACTTTTTGAACAGATGCACAACTCACAAAAACTTTTTAAAGCGAACCAGAGAACAAGGCACAAATGTCCCACAAACACAGCAGCACGTTACACACATTACCGACATTCTCGATTTGAACCCTGAGCTAAAGAAATGTTTTACAATACGAATTTTAGGGTTAGAATAATTAGTTAACTAGTTCAAGTGCACAGGTCTCAAACTCAATTCCTGGAGGGCGACAGCTCTGCACAGTTCTGCTCCAACCTTAATCAAACACAGCTGATCAAGTAGTGTCTAGTGATCTTGAACACCTTGCTTAGTTGGATCAGCTGTGTTTGACTAGGGTTGGAGCAAAACTCTGCAGAAAATGTGAAAATGAACAAAATGTGTTTAAAATGACTTGGGGTCTCATTTACAGTATAGACACAAAACAGGGGCTAAAATGCACTTCCCACTAAGGCTGCACGATTCTGGCTAACATGAGAATCCCGATTTTGTTTGCTTAAAATCAAGATCACCATTTTCTGATTCTGTAGGTGTAAAATAAAGGTTTAATGAGTAGCCTATTATTATTGTTATTTCTCAAACATTTGATAAAACAACAACAATAATATTGGGCCTATGTGTAGGTCTACTGTTGGTTAAAATGCTCAATTTTGTATAGACTTGCAATGATGGACTTGAACAGACTTTTTCGTTATGGCACAGTAAAATGATAACATCAGAATACAATGATTGATAATTCTGAAGTTGAATTATTATGTTTGAGACATATGCTTGCCATTTGTCATTACATTATTGGTCACTTAACAATAAGGTTCATTAGTTAATGTTAATTAATGCATTTACTAACATGAATAAACAATGAACAGTACATCTACTACTGTATATGTTCATGTTAGTTAACGTTAGTTAATGAAAAAACAGTAGTTCATTGTTAGTTCATGTTAACTCATGGTGCATTAACTAATGCTAACAAGCATGGACTTATATGTTAATAATGCATTAGTAAATGTGTAATTATGATTAATAAATGCTGTACGTGTTGTTCATGATTAGTTCACGTTAGTAAATGCATTAACTAATGAACCTTATTGTAAAGTGTTACCACATTATTAGACCTTTTTTTCACTGGTAAAATGAGACATATGTCATTATCAGATTCCCTCTTGTATTATATTCAACATTATATAGACTACAGTAGTTATACTGATACGATATGATCATTTAAATGATGTGCGCGGTTTTGGTTTCACTTTTAAGGCAGAATGCGCTCATGTTATGGCTGCCGTAACTCTGAGAAAAAAAAAAACATGCATGCAAATCAAAATTCCCACGTGACTCTCAAACGATCAGTCTGTGCAACAAACTGAACGTTATTTACAACTTTATTATCTGTTATTCACAGCCTATGCAGGCTGTTTACTAAAGTAGACTTCATTGGCGGGCACGCGCACATCCAACATTGCATCAGCTCATGTGTGATTTTGTGGATGCAAATACGTCAATACATTAAGACAGAAATGACATTTTGGGGTGAATTCTTCCTTATCAATACAGTATGTGACACTTTTAACGCCATTTGAAGGTGTCGATGTTGCTAAGCAACGTATATAAAACAATGTGAATACCCCTCTCAATTTAGACAGAAATGCTAAACTACTTTCATTAGCTATGTTTTCATCCAAAGATTCAAACTCAATTTATTTATAGAGCAAAACTGGAATATCGCATGAAAGATTTCCAAATAATGCTGTGTTTCCATTCAGCGAGTCAAAGAGAACAAAATCGTCACTTCCTGATAAACTGATGCCAAATATCAATACAAAAATGAAATTCACTGAGGTAGAAGAAGCTGCCTCAGTCTTTATCTTATAGAATAAATTACTCGCACCTCTGAAGACAAAACCAATTGAGCATGATGTGGATTTTGGAGGTGTAAGACACTCTTTGGGAGTACAGACACTCAAGACAGATCTTGAGGTAATAATAATAATAATAATAATAATAATAATAATAATAATAATAATAATAATAATAATAATAATAAATATAATAATAATAATAATAATAATGATGAACCACTGTGATGTGTCAGCCTGCTAGTTTGCCCATTAATGCTGTCCATTGCACTGATTATTTTGCATCACACACTGTAAAAAAAATTCTTGTTACCTTAAAGTTGAGATGAATCAAATGAACTTTTCTAGTCATCTGATCTTACATCAATCAAACTGACTAAAAATATTATGTTAAACTTAGTATAACTTAAAACATTTAATTGAAACCTGGACAAGTTATTATAATAAGTTAAAGTAACATACAAATATTTGTTGCTGTGACTTTTTGTCATTATATTTTTTACAGTGCATGATCTCTTATAATGAAATTACATGCAATTTTTTAACGCACATACTTGAATTTATTTGGTAAAAGCGTTTCCATTTTTGTTTATGCACATTTTTTCTAATCGAATAAAAAGTTGATCCTACTTAATTGTGCACATTGGTTTTTAATGCGAATTTTCTTATTTTATGCACATCTTGGTGTTTTCATCAAGCATTTTTTTATGCGTTAATCCAAAATGCGCATGAAAATAGGTGGATGGAAACAAAGCTATAGTCCCCAGGACTTTTCGACGACAGATAAAATTGTACTTACATCAACAATGAGAAAGTCAAGCCAACACCAAGCGTTTGTGAAGTAGACCTTGAAACCATAGGCCACCCATTTCAAAAGCATCTCAACCACAAACACATAGGTGAAGACCTGGTCTGCATATTCAAGGATGATCTTAATCATTCTCCGCTGTTCAATGTAAATGTCCTCAAAAGCCTAAATAAAACAACAAACAAACATACTTATTTAAAAAGAAGAGAAATCAGTGGGTTGATCTGGTTTTACAAACAACTTACCAAAGCTCCGCTGCTAAGGAGAATCATGAAGATGATGAAGGTCTCAAAATAGCTGTGCTCCACAATGGCGAAGCAGGTTTTCCGGAAGTTCCACCATGCTTTGCCTTTACCTTGGCTAACGTCCAGATCCAAGCAAGGACATCGCCTGATGCAGTCTGGAGAACGAAGACAAACAAACGTGCTGATAACCAGAAGATAATTCAGCAACATTAACAGTGTTAAGTCGTGGTTGATGTCTGACTCTCAGTGTAGCAGTCCTCAGGGCTAGTGAGATCCTCCTCTTCCTCTTCTACAAGATCTTCTACCTCAGGAGGTTTGTCCACTGTACTGCAGGTGGATGATTCATCTCCATTTTTCTTCTGTCCAGATCAAAACACTGCAAGTTAGGCTCTGTCTCTGTGCTGATGCTGCTTTTAAAATGAATCTAATAAATCAATATACTCCTCTTCAATTCAGTGTTTGAACTTTCAGCAGTTAAAATGAAACGACACTGAACTGAACTAAACTGAACTTCAACTCTGAAAACGAGACTGACACAGTTTCAATTTACTTGAACTTTTATGTTCAGCTCATTTGACACAACCTACATTGTAAAAGCAGTATAGTAATGCAGATCAATTTAATTAAATTGCTTTTTTGGGAACTGTTGAAAAAACAGGGTATAAAGTATGGCATGTAAGGCTACCTTCACACTAGACTTTGAGTGTGCTGGATTGGAATGGTTGTAATATGATGTGTCACACTCAACAGTGTGTTTTACGTTTATGTGTTTGGCAGCTGCTTGATTGAACTGAATGTGTACATATTTAGCACCATGCGCTGATGTATTGAGTTACGGGAATGTCTTAAAAGCATAACACATGCAAAATGTATAATCTACTCCAGTTTATTGCAACTGGAAGGCCATGATGTGATGATGTGTCAACCTTCTGTTGGTCACACGTCTTCATATAAGACAAAAGCAGGTCAGAGGCTAAAGTTAAAGACAAAATTATTAGTTCTCCTGTGAAATTTAAATTAGAAGTTTTCTCATGTGCTGCTTACAGGAGAGATATTTTTAAACATTGCTAATTCTAATAACTAATATATTAAGTCTTTGTCATGATGGCAGTTTACTAGCTGTTTCGCAAGTGCAATTTAAATGTCATTTAAAGGCTTAACTGGATTAAACAGGTTAAGTAGGTACTTTTGTTGAATTAGGACAACAGTCATTGGACAACAGTGGTTTGTTCAGTAGTCAATCGAGAAAAAACTAGATTAGAGGCCTAACAATGTTGACTGCAGCAGTTTTAATGCCCTATTGCAAATTTTGTTGGCTAAAAGTTGCATTGCAACTACATGCAAACTACTTCTCAGCTGAGTATTAGTAGACTGTCTGATTAATATCTGCTGATACTGCTCCTTCAACAAACATTTAATTGACTATAAGAAACTTTGCAAGTACATGTCAACTTACACTAACCTACCAGTCTACTTATAATCTAACAAGAATTAGTTGGCATGTAGATGCAATGTAGCTTAAATTTAACAAAATGTGTTAAAGGGACCATCAAAATAAAGTGATACTAAAAATATTTTTTATTCCAGCCAAACTAAAAGAAATATGACTCTCTAGAACAGAGATGCCCAAAGTAGGGCCCGCAGGCCAAAGTTGGCCCATGGTAACCTCATATTTGGCCTGCCTTCCCATCAGAAAAGAGAGGGAGAATGATGTGGCGAATGATGGGAAGAAAAATATACTAAGAAATACTGTGAAGAATACCCTTGTTCAGTTAAATATCAAGAATTAAACATTTACAGGGCTAATAATCTTGTCTTTAGCTGCAAGATCGTTATAGTTAACTAGAATCTTAAAAAATAACCAAACCTTAAACAAATAAAATACTACAATAAAATACAACCGTAAACACTTTTTAGCTTCCTTTTTTGCTACCTGAAATGTTACAATATTAAATGGATTTTTTAAAATGTGCTTAAAACAGGTATCTGCAAAGAAAACATTTATCATTTTAGATCCCTAATCAAGCAGGAACTAAGCCAAAAGGGAGTGAATGAGTGACAGTGGTGAAAAGAGTGCTGAAAAAGATCATACTTAAGTAAAAGTATCATTACTTTACTAAAAATGTAGTGTAAGTAGAGTGGACGTGTCTGCTGTAAATATTACTAGAAGTATGAGTAAAAAGTAGACCTTTCAAATGTACTCAAGAGTAGTGAGTATTACTCAAAAAAAACTGATGAATTTACATGTAATTTGTGGATGTGTGTAAACGGAACATTCTGTAGTGCATTTAGCTATTGCTCGGCAGGCACACAACATCATAAGATTTTAATATTAGGTTAGATTTAGGTTGTGATGTCAGGTGACCAAAAATCATTGTCTAGCCAGCGTCTATTTGGTTGATTTTAGGTTGTGTTATAAAATTAATAGAATCCAACGTTGAGCCATCATCGTAAACCAACCTCATTTTGATATCAAACACTGACAACCAAAATCCAACATCTGATAGACGTCATAGAGGTAATGCCCACCCAACGTCAAACTATAACATCATTGGAAGTTGATATTTGGTTGAACACTGATGTTGGCCTGACATTAGAGTCTGACATCAACCCAAATTTCATTTCCAAACAAAAACTTTACGTTTGTGTGCAATGTCAATCTGTCGTCATGTTGACGTCTTGTGCCTGCTGGGTGTTTAAGGCCATGTCGGTCATCATACAGTAAATATTTGTCAACTTCTCATCATTGACATGCAACTAAACAGTCTCTGGCTCAATGCGTGTAAAGATTTTGGACTTCTTCTTGGACACTATTAATGCTTCCAAACAGTTTGCTGCAATTATAAATCGCCCATGTCTTGAGGTAGATCATTATGTTGCGATTTACCTCTTTACTTCTATGTGTGATTTGATTGGACAGAATCACAGGACTAATTATTATAATCCCCATAGACAAGAAAAAATAAAGTAGTGACTGCAGGTTAAAGGAAAGTAGTGGAGTAAAAGTACCAATTACTGCACTAAAAATGTACTCAAGGGAAAGTAAAAGCTCACATTTTTAAAACTACTCAGTAAATTACAATTTCTGAGAAAAACTACTCAATTACTGTAATTTGAGTATTTCTAATTTGTTATTTCCCACCACTGATGACAGAGTTGAATTTTTAAATTTTTTTTTAATAAACAAATTAAATAAACTCATGCTTTGACCTGTAAACGATCCCACAGAAATCTCTAACTCCAATCCAATCTGATTGTCTACACAAGTTATAAGTACAGCTTTCCCTCACACAGCTGGATGTAAAACGCAGGGCTGTGCGACACATGCGGGCACGACATGTGAACTGTCACCTGATCCAAAGGCATGCCAGCAGTTGCCTAATGAGTTTAAGCCAATGTGCTTCAATGAAGAGAACATGAAATGAAACGTACAACCTAAACTGTAAAAAGAAAGAAAACTGCATTAGGATGTTGTGCAGCATTATTTAAAGAGTTGTTTTTATGTAGGCGTGGATGTGATTTATACAGGTTTCTTCTGAAGTGGGCACTGGTAGGGTCACGACGCTGGTCAGCAAAGTAACTAATCATGCTGTGCCGTTGCTCTTTCTCACGCCCTGTCACCAGGTCACACGGTCTCTGCCATTCCTTAGACATACTCGCTAAACAAGACGACCCGCGGGGCTCCAGATGGACTTTGCAGGTGTCACAGTATTTGGGACACATGTATACGTGTCAAGAGGTGTTGATGGACGTATGTCAGTGATACTGTTTTGTTACAATACTGGAATTTCTAACTTTGATACTATATGCTACATTTAAAGTATTGACATTTTATACAATTTTTTACACCATGGGAAAACACTGAATTGTTACTACTAATAAATAATAACAATACAAAATAACACATACTAATAAATTACAATTTAATGTCTTCATTTTTTCTTTTGTCAGACTTAAAATCTCAAACAAGACTCTACGTAAATTTTTTTTAGTAACGTTGGTGCAGTTAGGCCTGTCGATCAGGGGTGCGTTTCTGAAAACCATTGTTGGCCAACTAAGGTCGCAAGTTCCTTCGTTACAAATATAGTTAGTTGGTTTGGCATTTTCCAAATCCATTGTTCTAACGAACATTTGCAAACTGCATCACAAACTTGTATGCTTGCAACTACACTTCTAGAGCTGTAGTTAGCATAGTTCCTGGCTGTGTTCTATTCCCAGTTATCCCCCCTATGCCTTATTCATTTAGAACATTCAAACTTGGAAGAATGAAGAAAAGCATTAAAGTCATCATTCTTAGGTGTAATTTGCTTTCAAAGTATTTTTACAGTTTAGTTTTAGCGATCTTCATTGCCTTCGTAGTGAACTTTGAAAACATTGATGTCATCTTGAACACAGCCGTGGCTCATGATGAAAAAGCTATAGGTGACCTATTATTTAAAATTATCATTTAAAAGCGAAATACATGTTATGTCTCCAAAGCTTGTAAAAACAAAAAAAAAACATAGCATACGTTAATGCTTTTAATTTATAGTAGGTTATATATTAAGAAATATATCACTATATGACATGGGCCTGTTGGTTAGAACATTTCTACAGGGGTTTACATGTGTCAAATTGTAAAAGTAGACTTTCAAAAAAAAAAAAAAAATGCAATATCCTACTTCACAGGTGTCAAACTCAGTTCCAAAAGGGCCACAGCTCTGCACAGTTTAGTTCCAACCCTAATTAAACACACCTGATCAAACTAATTGAATCCTTCAGGCTTGTTTGAAACCTACAGGTAAGTGTGTTGGGGCAGAGTTGGAACTAAACTGTGCAGGGCTTCGGCCCTCCAGGAATTGAGTTTGACACCCCTGTCCTACTTAATAATAATACAAATACTACAACTACTTCAACTACTACTACTACTAATCTCCATCATCATCATCATCAGTATTATTAATATTATTAAAGTATGATTTTTATCATTTCCTAATAAATAATAAATATTAAATTTAATTTCTTAATAAATGGCCTAATTATTTATTTATTTATATGATTTAAATATGATATTAGAATACAGTATGTGCTAGCTTTTGCAAGTGATTTTATGTTTTAGAATAGAATATGTAATGTTCTTAATAATGTTTGTATATAATAATAATATATAATAATAAGGAAATTTATTCTGTATGTGCCATTTACATATATTTCATTTAACATGGAAAAACCAGTGCATGTTATTTTTTACAAAACTAATATTGGATTTTAAATTTTTAAATGTGTGAGCGTGTAAAAACAATATAACCTGCACAAAAAATGATGTGGTTTTTCTGAAAAGAAGTTGTTACCAACCTATTTAGAGCATCATTATGAACGCTTTGCATTATAACTAACGTGGACCAAACAATCGATCTACGACAGAGCAACTACAGGTTTTGGGAAACAAACATTATGGGCCTTATCATACACTTGGCGCAATGTGGCGCAAGGCGCGGCGCAATACTTGTTTGGTAATTTCAGCTTGGCGCAAGAGTCGTTTTGAGGCGTTGCGCTACGCTGTTTAAATAGCAAATGCATTTGTGCTCAGATGTGCGCCCATAGGCGTTCTGGTCTAAAAAAGAAGGCGTTCTAAGGCGCTCTGCTGGCGCGTCGCTATTTTGAGAAACTAAAATTGATTTTTCATTAGTCCAAAACAAACCCGGTCTAAACTCCGGCGCAGAGTTGTGCCTCGCTTACACACTGCTTAATAAGCACAAGAGAGCAATAGGCAAATATCTTTACATATGAAAAACTTTAAACTTTAAGGATATATATAGGATATGCTAAGAATAGATATAGGATATAAATATAAAGGATTAAAATATTACAAAACATATTATTTTCTAGCCTACATAAAAATGAAAAACCACTGCTTTTATGTCTTCTTCATCTCGGGAGGCTTTTTCAGTTCATTCATAACAATTTGCTTTTGTATAATGTTATTATTATCAGCAGTATTATTTATTATATCCATATTTATATTTGTTTTATTAAAAACAAGCTTAGATTTGCCCACCTGTCAGGTTTTAGACCATATGGGGCACAGCATGTGTTTTAGTATACAACTCAGGTTTTTGAACACACTTCGTTAATATTGTTCATTTATTCGTTTGCTGGAAATTAGAACTGAATTTAGAAATAGTTTTGAAATGAATATTTGCGCTTAACAAACGCAATTAATTATTTATAGACTAATCAATGTCTGTGCGTAAAGGTTTCCCTATCCAAGAGCGAAAATGAAAGTGATCCATTATCTCTCATTCTTACACAGTAGATGCTCTGTTTAACATTTTTCTGTTAAAAAAACTGTTACTGTTTGCTTGTGAAATGCTCATTTTTTCCACTTAGACTTACTTTACGTCCTGCAAATAGCGAATGCGCTTATGGCGCGACGCAGCTGGCTCTTAAAGGGAATGGGAGATGAGACTCTAATTGGTTTATTCTCAAAACACACCTATAACTCATTTAGAAAATAAACTCAACCCTTTTATACCATACGCCTTGGCGCAAAGCGGATTTTCCCGTTCGTAAATTAGCAAAAATGCGTTCTGACACGCCCTGAAAGCGTTTGCGCCCTGCGTTTTGCGCTCTTTGCATGGACCGTCAAAATAGAGCCCTATGTCACTACATTGTTATTTTCCTAAACGATGCATCATACTATAATAATTCAGCCACGAGTTACGTCGATGTTTGGTAAACGCACCCCAAATTTTAAATCATCCTGCCAATATGTTTACTGGCCCAGAGAAAAAAATAATACATAGTGCAGGCCCGTAGCTTACGCCCCATTCACACGGGGTGTTAGCATCAATGCTTCCCATTCACTTTGAATGGGTGACGTCAGGCATTGCCAAACTGCATTGTGGATCTGTCGGCGCCGCCTCAGAGGCGTTGCTCGCAGCAGAAATTGAGACTAGCTCAACTTTTCAAGCGCCGACAGAAGCGTCAGCAAATCAGATTGTTGTATGCAAATACAACAGCTAGACAGTGGCCTATTGCTGACTGAATTTCATTGGCTGACGCTGCTATGATGATCGCTTTAGCCCTAACTTCAGACATGCCTTCAGTCAAGTGTTGATGCTGAAGCCCTGTGTGAATGCGGCGTTAGGGTGGTTTAAAAGACCCACACCTCACAGACAAAGGACCTGAATTTGTCCTATACATAAGCTCATTTGCATTATTTTGACTGCTATGCCATCATAAATAGTTAAAATAACCCAATGATAAAAGGTTTTAGGACCAAGTGGAATCCTCTGTTGGCTGTCGCTTCGGTGTGACTTCAGCTAATCAGTTTTGGTCAGTGCACACAATTATTTTTCACAGGTCTACATCCAGCTGTGCAAGAAAATGTACATTCTAACTTAAGTGAAGTGATCTTACGCTACTGTATTGTTTTTAAATAAAGAAAACATTTTACAACTAACTTTTATTCTAAATCTTCTTATTCTTGAAACAAAAAATGACCAATAAAACGGCGTAAAGCACCAAAAGCAACTGATAATAAAATGAATTTGAATACTATTTTGGCTATTGTTTTTCATGTTTTTTTTTTATTAACTTTTTTTTGTTAATGAAGACCATCCAACAATCTACTTAAGCCAAAATAGTGCTTAAAATGTCACTAAAATGCAGTACTTAAATCTCATAATTAAATAGTAGACTCAATGAGGCAAAAAGGTTCACTTTTTAAGAAAAAAGAACAACCCCTTTCACAAGGCTGGCTACAGGCCAGTAATGGAGTAAATACAAATATTTGTCACAATAATAATTGATTCCTTCGCATACCAATAGAACTACTACTAGTGGTACACATACCACAGTTTGAGAAACACTGCTCCATTTCATTATTTCCCGATTTAATCGTCTGCGTTGTTTACATGATTTTGTGCAGCTTGTCAGTCAAGTACAGCTCTGTGTAGTAAATGCTGCTCCAACCAAAATTTACTATTGATCACAGAACTGACAAGATGGGGCTGTTTACATCTGGTCACTTCATGCATTTTTTCTGATTGGATAGCTTCTGCTTCTTACATTTTACCTGATAAGTCCTGAAAGTACATGGAGTTTGTAACATCAAAAATGAGCTGCTAAAAAACTCTGGATAAATGGACAAAGTCAAACTGCAGGACACACTAGACTGCAGTGTTGTAACACAAGTGATGGAGTGATGTGTGTTATCACAGTGCATATGCCCTCACTTTTGGAGATATCAATATTGTGTAAAAGCAATATTGCATATCAATAAAAAATTTTTTTTAAATATCAATAGTTTTGACACCGATACTTGTTTCTGCTTTTATGCGATTTTTCACATTACATTTTTTGGTCACTAGTATTTAAAGTACAATCCATGCTATTAACTAAGATATTCAAGTCAAAAAACTACTGATTTGCTGCTTATTAAAAGCTAGTAAGATAATAGTTGGGTTAAATATTGGGTACCATTAGAGATGTAGGATAAGATCCTACTTTATATTTACTAATAAACAGCCAATATATTTATTATAAGGAGAAAACTAGCCATTGGTTAATTGAGGGAATTGGAATAGTAAGTCAATTTTTTTACTGAATAAAACTCACTTTCATATTTATATCACGGCCCTCATCGTCTTCGTCCTCAGAAGAGCCGTTTCCGTCGTCATCATCTGATTCCCCATTGGCTATAGGCACTTTGACCATGGAGGAACTGGAATTCATGATGGCATTCATTTTAGCGTCGCCTTCTCCATTTACTTTCGCACCCTCTTCCTTTGGCTTCAGATTCAGACATTGTCTCACGTGTTTGTTAACAAAGGCTTTTATCCAGTCGATACCTCTGGTGATTCTAGAAATGGCAATCTGCAGGTTGTTCTCCCCATCATCATCAGATGCTGACAGGTTGTCCCCGCTGAAGGAGCTGAGCAGCAAAGCCAGGAAAAGATTCAACACCTATTGGACGAGAGTTAGAAAAGATTAAATACATACAGTGCAGTCATTTTTTTTAACTTTCATACATTTTTATAAAAATAGAAGTAAAAACATTTACTTTTCAAATGTCTCAGATAGTTAACTTTGTTTACTTCTTTATGGTAAAGCGTCTGCTAATTGACTGAAATGTTTTCAATTATTATTAAAAACAACACACGCACACATATATATATATATATATATATATATATATAATATATATATATATATATATATATATATATATATATATATATATATATATATATATATATATATATAATATTTATTAAATATTAATGAGATAAAATTATGAAATATGTCTATTTTTCTTTTTTTACTTTTTTAATTTCATGAATTGTCTTCTCTGGTACAATTTCAATGTGTATAATAATAATAATAATAATAATAATAATAACAATAATAATAATAATAATAATAATAATAATAATAATAATAATAATAATAATAATAATAATAATAATAATAATAATAATAATAATATATTTTTAAATATTACATTTTTCTAGTTTAATAATTATATCACCTCATACCTGAATAAAATAAAAATAACAATCATAAAATATTTTTATTTATATGAATATTTTATACGCAATTAATTAAAAAATATACAGTATATTAATCGCTTACAATATATTTTTTTATTAAATTAATGATTACTAATATATTTTTATTACCATCACTTCTAAAAACACACATTTATTATTAGTCATCTATCAAAGTTTTAGGAACAACAAATAATAACTTGACTACTAGTTGGTCATTTGGTATCAGAAGTGGCTTTTATGAAAGACAAAGGCTTCTAGATTATGCTTATTTAACAAAACAAAAAAAATAGGACCATTGCTTGATTTTTTTATTATTTAAATAGGACTGTAAGGTCTCACTTTGCGAAGACAAAAGTCTTGTCACTTAACAGAAATAATGTACAGTATAGAATATAAAGTCATGGTGCAGTGGAAAAAGATTTAATATTATAAAAGTGTTCTTGCAGGACTCCGAGAGTTCATCAAAATTCTTTTTTTAATTATCTTTTATGCTGCCTCCATCTTACCAAAGTCATGCTTAAAAATGTCTGGTGACTGGGCTGGCCAATCCTGGAGCACCTTGACATTCTTTGTTTTCAGGAACTTTGATGGAGGCTGAAGTATGAGAAGCGCTATACTGCTGAAGAATTTGTCCTCCTCTGTGCTTTGTAATGTAATGGGCAGCACAAATGTCTTGATACCTCAGGCTGTTGATCTTTCGCACAGCCCCATACTGAATGTAACCCCAAAGCATGATTGTTTTCTTCTCCAAACTTCTCCAGACAATTTCTGTGAGAATTCTGGGTCCATGCAGGTTCCAATAGGACTTCTGCAGTATTTGTGATGATTGGGCTTGCAGTTCAACAGATGATTCATCTGGACAATCTACCTTCTGCCACTTTTCCAAATGCTCAACTAGAAGTCAAGTTATTATTTGATGCTCTTACAACAGGAATCGAAGACAAGACTTTTTTCAGATAGTGTATGAAGAAATATTATGGAAGTCTAGGATTATTTTCTGGTTAAAGTTAAACTTTATTTAATTAGAAATGACAATTTCAAAGAAATGACAGGAGTTTTTAATTAAAAGAAATTGTATTTATTATATTTTGTTGATTTCTCAGCTATTACAAAATAAATGTGAGCTACGCATTTTCCAGTGTACTATACACAACTGTGTGGCCTGTCTCTTGCTTGTGCAATGTCTCAGGTTGTTCGATTTAAAGTATGTTGCTTATTAAAATAAATGTAGGCCTATGAGATAGAAAGAATTATTTTAATGGATTATTTAAAGATCATTTAAATGAAAGTGTTATTTTCTGCAGTCTGATAATCAATGCCAAAATCAACACCAGCTAGGCCAGGCCAATCTTAATTTTTCTGTAATTAAAAACTACTGCAATGCAGATTTGTTAAAACTCTTTTTAAAAAATCCATTGCTAGTTAATTCCTCTTAGTTTGACATCCACGTTTTGTGACTTCTATTACAAACTGTATAATCAAGTACATACATCTGTCTGTTTAGTAAAGATTGCATTAATACACTCACCACTAGGTTTCCTATAACCATGACCATCATGAAGACGATGATGCACATGCCTTGACCAGCCACCTCCATGCAGTCCCACATAGTTTCAATCCACTCGCCGCACAGAACACGAAAGATGATGAGGAAGGCGTGAAAGAAATCTGCCATGTGCCAGCGAGGGAGCTCGCAATCTGATGAGATTTTACACACAGAGTCTGTGTAGCTTTTTCCAAAAAGCTGCATCCCCACCACGGCAAAGATGAAGACGATAATGGCCAGGACGAGGGTCAGATTCCCAAGGGCGCCCACAGAGTTGCCGATGATCTTTATCAGCATGTTTAGGGTTGGCCAGGACTTTGCCAGCTTGAACACACGCATCTGCGAACCAACCATTCCACAAGAGATTTTTATATAATGGAGGGAAATTATTATTATATAAAGGAAAAAAGGAAAATTTATTAAACAGTAATTATTCATCAAAATAAAGAGTTTGGTCTCTGAACATCTTAAGGAATGGAAAGACAATACGTTTAAAATAAAGTTATTGCAAAAAACTTTTTACTACAAACTACAAAATTTTTTTGTTGCAGATTTTGCCCCTCAATTTATTATTTTTTTTCTCCAACATGAATTTGTGTGTACTAAACATGTGTGTGCTCAACATAGGACTACACCCACAAAACTCTCATTTAGCTTAATATTTTCAGCGACGCGGTGGCGCAGTGGGTAGTGCTGTCGCCATACAGAAAGAAAGTCGTGGTTCAAGCCTCAGTTGGGTCAGTTGGCGTTTCTGTGTGGAGTTTGCATGTCCTTCCCCGCGTTCGTGTGGGTTTCCTCCGGGTGCTCTGGTTTCCTCCACAAGTCCAAAGACATGCGGTACAGGTGAATTGTGTATGCTAAATTGTCAGTAGTGTGGGAGTGTGAATGAGTGTGTATAGGGTGTTTCCCAGAGATGGGTTGCAGCTGGAAGGGCATCCTCTGCGTAAAACATATGCTGGATAAGTTGACAGTTCATTCCGCTGTGGTGACTCCAGATTAAAAAAGGGACCAAGCCGAAAAGAAAAAGGATGAATGAAATTTATATTTTCTATAAGATGCTTTACAATACTATATGTGTGCATATACATTAGATCAGACAGTACTAAAGCCAAATCTGGAGCTAATCTTACAAAATAACATGACAACAGTCTAAAACTAGTACTGTATATGCATATAGTAATTTATATGTTAGAGACAATATTAATAAACTAAAATGCGAAATAAAAGAGTGAATTCAAGAAAAACTAAAAATGTGTTAAATTTTGTTGAAATTTTGTAGTTTGTAATTTAAATAAGCTTAATTGTATTATCTTTCTATTTATAAAGATGTTCATTGACTAAAATATTACTAATTAATATATCCATTTAATAAATCTGACCTTTACTGAGAAATTAATAAAAATATTCATTTTCAAAATGGGGTGTACTCAATTATGCTGAGCACTGTATACATGTTCTTTACGCTATTAAAATGTTCTTCAGACTAAGAAAAAAAAGTTCTTTACAGATCCAAAAAATATTCTTCTAGGGCAGGGGTAGGGAACGTCCGGCCTCCCGGCCGTATGCTGCCCGCGAGACGATTTGATGCGGCCCCATCTGTCAATTCAAAATCACCCCTCAGAAATATCTATTTAAAAAAGTGACAGTTGTACACATTTGTTGCTCTGTAAAGCTCAGTTTCACATAAAAAGGACTAAAAGCATGTGCTGTAATGTAACGTTTGCAGCAGGGGATGTGCATGATTAATTAATGTACGTTCGAATCAATCATATTTTTAATAGTGCGAACGAGACCGCATGGCATGCTTCTGTGTGTGTGCGCGTGCTTAGCCTCAGAGACGAGCAGAGCACACACATCTAACGCCATCTTAATGCGAGCGATTTAATGATCAAATACATGCACATTTCTGTCAGAGCGCGGTGATTAGTGATTATTCAAATTAACCCTCATTTGTGTAATAAACAAACAAGTTGAGAATCAAAAGACATGTAAAAGAGAAACCATATCAGAGCTGCGCTATTCTTAAAGTGACAGTGCGCAATATTCCTGCTGCTCACTGTTTTTCTTATTAATCAAACAACAAAAGGAGAAAATTACTCACTGCTCTTGACTGAAGGAATTTTGTTGCTAAAGTTTTTTTCTTACAGTGAAGATGCTTAAAGCACAGTTTGTTTCATATTTTTATTCTATCGTATTTATTTCCCTTTCCTTTTTTACAGGGAGGAAAATAACTGTGCATATATAAAATCCGATTTATTTGCCCTAATGAATTATATGCGACCCTTTCCCCCAATTTCTGTTTAATGGAAAGATTTATTTTAAACCCATTTTTAAACATAACAGATTTAATAACTCATTTCTAATAACTGATTTATTTTATATTTGCTATAATGACAGTACATTATATTTTACTAGATATTTTTCAAGATACTAATATTTAGCTTAAAGTGAAATTTAACAGCTTAGTGTAATTAGGCAAGTCGTTGTTTAACAGTAGTTTCTTCTGCAGACAATCAAAAATATATATTGCTTAAGGGGCTAATAATATTGACATTAAAACAGGTTTCAAAATATTAGAAACTGCTTTTTATTCTAGCCAAAATAAAACAAATAAGCCTTTACCAGAAGAAAAAACAATTATGGAAAATACTGTGAAAAATTCCTCTGTTAAACATCATTTGGGAAATATTTATATATATAAAAAACAAAACAACAAAATTGACAGGAGGGTGAATAATTTTGACTCCAGCTGATAATCATTTTGAATAATCATGATTACAATTTTGACCAAAATAATTTTTCCCAATTTTTTGAGCAGCCCTATAATTTAGTATGGCCCCTAAACGATGTTACAAAAATGTAAATGGCCCTTGATAGAAAAAAAGGTTCCCCACCCCTGAACTAGGGCATCACTGTGAAAAAAACCCTTTTGGAAGCATGATTTAAAAAAAAAAGTCTGTCAGACAAAAAAGTTTGACCCACCAGACGGAAGGACCTCAGCACAGACAAGCCCTCAACATCGGCCAACATCAACTCCACCAGACTCATGGTCACAATTATACTATCAAAAATGTTCCAGCCAACCTGGAAGTAATAATATGGGTCCAGCGCAATGAGCTTTAGCACCATCTCTGCTGCGAAGATACCTGTGAAAACCTGAGGGAGGAAAAACATGATCATTCAAGAGCTTCCGCACAGTGACCAAACTACATTTTTGATAGTAAGCAAACATCAATATCTAGATTCACTTGCCAGGTTTCCTATTGCCAACACTTCTTCAACGTGTACTGACATGGGATAGTGCTCCATAGCCATGAACACAGTATTGAGCACAATGCACAAGGTGATGCCCAGATCCACAAAAGGGTCCATTACAAATAAGTAGACGATCCTCTTGAACTTCACCCATGGTATGCAGCAATCCCATTTCAGGAATATATCAGCAAACTTGTACCAGCCGGGAGGACATGGCCTTTCAATATCCTCTTGCGCTGTAGATGAAAGTGTTTTGGCACACCATTTAACATAGGGTTTGACTTCTGGATCTCCTCATTTAATATAGGGCTGAACTTTTTTCTTTATTTTATCCTGTTTTTTTTTTTACTTTACAATAATGCAGCATTAGTTACTAACATGAATAAACGATGAGCAATACATGCTTGTTAGCAAATGAAAATAAAGTTCACTACAGTTCCAATAACTCACAGAGCAATGTTAACAAGCATGAACAATATCTTAATAATGCATTAGTAAATAAATGCCATACTGTTCATACTTGTAAATACCTGAACTCACATTAACTTATGACACCTTATTGTAAAGTGTAACACTCTTTTATTGATCCATTTGAATGCTTGTTTCAGGAGTTTGTATGCACAGCTTACAGAAAAGTTTGCTTTAGCTGGTAAACTACCATTAGTTCCATCAGAATAATCTTGTGCAAACATTCGCATTGTTATAATCAGACATTTGCTAAGTTTGGGTTTTGTTTTTGTTGAATCTATGCTTGTTTATTTTATATTCAGCATGTACTTGCATGTTCATCTAAATGTCATGGTTTGGGCCATGGAAACCAAGGAAAAACAGCATTGTGGGATGTCAAATCTTGTAAAAAAATCACTACTAGGAAATGCTGCCCTACAAAGCCACAGCGCAATAACTATGCAAACACTACAACTCAGAAAAAGGCAGCCTCTTTACTTTACTCCTTTACTTCTGTGGATAAGGAAACAGTGTTGTACACTCCACTGAAGACATCCATTAGCCTACATATTTAATTTTGTTAGTTAAACGCAAAGATTCATTTCAAGGTGAGAGCAGGGAAGGGTGTTGCCGCGGACGAAAGTCAAGAGGGTTGGGGAGTCATGGAAGAAAGTGAAAGTGAACATCGGACGCGGGAGGAGGGCGGTTGAGGAGGGGGATAGAAAAAATGAGGTGCCGGATAAAATTTCAGAGGTGCCAGGCGTGTTCCGGCACAAATTAAGCCATGCCCAGCGCAATAGGACGCAAGACGTTTTTTGAGCGATTTTCAGACCGGCGCAACAGTAATTTTCACATTTTGCACCATTTTGTTTAAATAAAAAATTAATTTGCGCCACTTTGTGGAATCATTGGTGTGCTAGTCCTAAAAAGAGGTGGGTTAAGGCACATTGTTGGCGCTTTGCTATCTTGAGTAACTTTTAGCTTTTTACCTGTCGGGTTTTGTAGATGTGTGCATCACCATATGCATCATAAAAATAGGACGTGTGTTTGGATATTACTCAGTTTTGTGACCACACTTTGTTTTTATTGCTCATTTATTCGTTTGCTGAAAATAAGGACTGAATTTAAAAATGGTTTTGAAACAAATCTTGACACAAAGCGCTGAACAAACAAAATTAAATATGTAGGCTAATGGATGTCTTTAGTGGAGTGCATACAACACTGTTTCCTTATCCACAAAAGTAAAGGAGTAAAGATTAAAAATAAACTAAAGAGAAATTAAAGAGGCCAAATGGAGGAGGTTCGTTGTTTATCCTCATGCTGCAGGTGGTGTGTTTAACTGTTTATCTCTAGTGAAGCATTCAGTTTTTACACTTACAAAGTCCACCATGTAAATAGCAAATGTGCCATAGCACACCCATAACTCAAAAAGAAAATAAGCACAACCATGTTAGACCATACGCAAACCTTATTTTTCTGTCTTTAAATTAGCCGTCCTTAAAAGTGGATTCGGGCCCGCCCTTAATGCTTTTGCACCATGCGCTTTAGACTTTGCACCTAAATCGTTAAAATTCAAATTCTTAAAGTTTAATTAGAAATGATTGACTAAATATTTTTGCAAGTTTTCAATGAATCATGTTGTAGTAACATTTGTACATGAATAAGTTACATGTAAAAATATTAAAACCATCATATGATAAATAATAAACATTATAATGAAATGCTAAAATGTTTATTCCACCCTAAACTCTATGTTCTAACACACACTAAACTAAAAAATGAACTTACCATCTAAAGCACTCTCTACAGCGCTCACCACACTTGGTTTTCGTATCTGTGAGTCAGGAACTTCCAAGTAATTTATGTTGCCTTTGGATCCATTGGATTTCGAGAGGGGTTTCAATGCAATCCCATCATAGTCGCTTTGCATTTGATCATTATCACCTTTCTTTTTGCTTGACAGGGATGTCTTGCTGCCATTTACCATCCCGTTCTTCTGCTGCGTGACATGAAAACAGGCAAAATCAGAGTGATTAACTAGTGTTTTTCCGAATGAACGTTGGGAAGGTTTCAATTAACAGTAATGATAACAAACCTCAGCTTGTTTCTTGAGTTGCTCCATGATTTTTGCATACTCTTCCTCCTTCTCTTTAGCTTCTGCAGCGGTGGCTTCGTTTTGTTCAGCATAGGCCATGGCCACCACAGCCAGAATCAGATTGATGAGGTAGAACGAACCCAAGAAGATGATGACCACAAAAAAGATCATGTACGTCTTTCCTGCTGCACGGAGAGTCTGAAACATTTGAAAAATACTTTAGTGCTGCTATTTGAGTAGTTTTTTTAAAAGATTAATCTATATCTTGTATATAGTACTAGGGGCATCTGTTTTGATGTCTGTTAGAAAATAACTGCCAGAAAATAAGATACATATAAATTATATCGTATATATAAAGTATATATACTTTTTTTGTCAGTTCCACAACCAGCTAAATGCGTTTTTAATTACATTTATTCATTTAGCAAACGCTTTTATAGGAAGAAATTTATTGTATCCAAGTGTATAGATCTGTAAACGTCACTTTGGAATTCTAAGGTTCTATCTGCATTCTGAATGATTTTTAGATATTGAGCTCCAAAGTTTTTGCTTGCCAAAGCAAACAGTATTTGTATAACATTTTTTAAAAAATAAAAAGTCTTAAAAATGTAAACAACTGTAAAAAACATCCAATAATGTCAATAAGTTATCATTTAATAAGAATATAAGAACTCAATTTTGACAAAAATGGCAGATAGAACCTAATTCTAAAGTGACGATATGTTAATATGTTTTTATGCATTAATAATGTTCATTTTACAGTAAATCAAACTTTGGTCCACATAAAAAAAAAAAAACATCTTTATAAAATGTCTGTTGTTTTAATTAAGGCTTCACTGACTTCATTAAAATAAATAATAATAAATTAATAGTAACATTGTAAAATATTACTGCAACATAAAATAAACTTTTTCTAATTTAATATGTGCTGAAATTACTTGCCAGAGGTCCTTTTACTATGTAAAAATGCTGCTTAAAAAATAAACATTGTCCTTCCTTCCTGAACTAAAAAAAAAAAAAAAAAAAAACTCCCAACATTTTAATAGCAGTGGACATAAAATAAGCCTTATAAAACATATGTTTTAACACCTGACAATTGATTGTCATGTCATTTCAATTCTATTAAATATTATAACAGGAAGCCATTACATTGTATCACATGTAAGAATGCGAGTAATATGATGACTGTGTCTGAAAGCTCTTAAATTGAAGGCAGGAAGGCATCAAAACACATGCAAATTCAAATTCTGCTAATTTTCCTGTCTCAGAAGGAATCGCTGATAAATTTCCACAGACATCATAGATGTGCCCTTCACTGCCTTTGATATCCTATAATCCAGTGCATTTCATCATCATTTTCCACTTTTCATGGCATTTCTAGTGATAAGTTAGTATTTCAGTAAGCAAATATTCCCTTAGGTATCACCAAAGCTGTCTCTATTTATTACATGACTGACTCATTACACAGTCACACTTCTGCTGTCTGAAATATTTTTTGTGAGGTTCCTTTGTGTGCTCATGCAGACCATCTAGAACTACGTTAAGCTGCGTTAAAACAATCTACATTGTGAAAAGTGCTATATAATTAAACATGAATTGAGTTAAACATGTAAGATGGCAAGGAATAAGAATCCAACAGGATGCATATACCTACCAACTGGAACAAGTTCTCCCAGAAATCTTGAGTCATGAGCCGGAAAAGAGCTAAGAAAGCCCAACCAAAGTTGTCATAACTGGTGTAGCCATAATTAGGATTTCGGCCAGCTTTCAGGCATATGTAACCCTCAGGACACAACCTGTGAAAAGCAACAGCTCCTTTAATACAGTGTTTCTCAACCACATTCCTGGAGGACCACCAGTTCCGCACATTTTCCGTGTCTCCTTAACCAAGCACTCCTGATTCAGATCATCAGCAGAGACTAAAAGACCTGTAATGGATGTGACAGACAAATGAGACATCTAAATCATGTAGTGTTGGTGGTCCCACAGGAACGTGGTTGAGAAACACTGCTTTAATATACACATACAGACAATTAGCCTTGTGCAGTGTTATTTAAAAGCATGAAGCAATATAAAATAAATATCAGCAGAACATACCCTGCGTCCGAGCTGTTCCCACAAACTAAAGGATCCATCTGGCCTGGCACATAGTAGTAGTTTTCTATGCAAAGAGAATGGAGAGGACTTAAATGACTGTACATGCAGTAAACGACAAGCTGTCATTCATTTAAAGTCTTTTTACCTAAATCTTAAGATGGACATTCAATCAACTTTGGTCACACTTTACAATCAGTTTGTATTAGTTAATGTACTAACTAACATGAACAATAAATTCATCATTTTATAATGTTAGTTAATGGAAATTGTTCATTGCTAGTTCTTATTAATTCAAAGTGCACTGACTAAGGTTAAAAAGCATGAATTTAGCATTTGTGAATGTTTAAATATGATTAACCTCAAAAGGTGCTCTAGCAGCAGACACTATAGGCCATGGTCTTTAGCCTCCTTGTTAAAGCAACTGACTCCCATACAAAGAATCACCGGTTCAATCCTAGCTCAGAATGGGACGGGTGCAGTAGGACTGGTGGGTTATTTGTGGGGGCTCGTCTGGGATGGAAGTGAGATTTAGAGGGGTGAGTGTGACAGAGGCCAGCTAGCAAAGTGCTATGCAGGTAAACCTCACTCTGCTGACTTCAAAAGGTGCTCCAGCAGCAGTCACTAATAGGCCGTACTCACACAAGGTACAGTTGCCTCGAAACGAGCCAAAGCACGTTTGTCCCCCCTCCCGTCTCCCCCGACGGCCCGCGCTCACACCACAAACGGGCTTCGGCACGCTTACGTCATCGCTGCTGGGCTGTTCAGTGAGAAGCGCTCTCTCACTCAGCAGCACAGTGGAGATTTCTCTAGTTATATCGTTTTAGTCGTTTGATATGCCGTCAAATATTTCGCCAAACAGTCCTTAGGGATGCGGGGACACGCAGTCAGATATTTCGCCGAACAGATACGCCACTTTTGGCGCTCATAAACAATCATAAAGCCCTCGTGCTGCAGGAATGAGGAGGTCTGCTGAAGGCGCGCAGCTGTCGTGAAGTGAGGAGTTTGCGTCTTTAATAAACGACGGCAGTTTGCGATCACTGAACAGTAAGAATGATTAATAAATCCATATGAAACAGTCCCTTAAAAGTCACGTCTCGCTTTCAGTTTCGGGCTTTGGCGCGTTTTGCACTCACACACAAGCGTACCGCGCCAAAGCCTAAGTGAACCGCGCTCAGGCACACCTCTTCCAACCGGGCCAGGGCCGGCCAAGTGAACCTTGCCTGAGCCCGATACAGCGCACTCACAGTTCTCAAACAATCCGGGAAACGGGCCTGGGCATGGTACGGATGGCATAGTGTGAGTACGCCCTAAAGACCATGCTTTAGCCTCCTTGTTAGAGCAACCAACTCCCATACAAAGAATCACCGGTTCAATCCTAGCTCAGAATGGGATGGGTGCAGTTGGACTGGTGGGTTACTGCGAAGTGCTATGCAGGTGACCTCACTACCTCAACCTCACTACTCTCACCTCAAAAGGTGCTCTTGTGACATATGCTAGAAGCCATGGTCTAAAAATTAGCTAATGAAAACTTATTGTAAATTGTGACCAAAAAACAAAGTCATACATAACCAAAACTGAATTAACACTCATGTCTCCTGCTGATACATTAATCAATATACATCAGGTTACTAATGTAAATAAGACACAAGTCACCTTCACTGTTAATATATTTCTGGTAGTCAAAAGTGCTGTTGGCAGTTCCATTTCCATTGATGTCTGTGTAATTGGAGAGCACTGTCAGGTTGTCACTGTACCAGCCAACCGGAGGCCACAAGACGCACTTTTGCCGCAAATTTCCCATAAACAGTTGCAGGCCAATTAGAGCAAACACGCTGAGACAGAAGACAGTGAGGATCATCACATCCGCCAGTTTCTTTACTGACTGAATTAGGGCCCCAACAATGGTTTTTAGACCTGTAATTCACAATTAAACACAATCTTAGCTGACACATTCTTAAAATTATACAATGTACAGTATACAGCAGCCATGCCGTGCTTACCTGGAATTACAGTGATTGTTTTCAGGGCACGGAGAACACGGAAAGTCCTCAAAGCGGATATATTCCCCAAGTCCACAAACTCTGTGAGGTACCTATGGGATGATGGAAAAATGCTAATTTCTCAATATAAACACTGACAATTTATCAGGGGTCATATATCATATGGTTTATAAAGCGGATGAACCCAGCACTGGGAATATCTTCTTATTATAAAACCTCTACTACTGATGTGTGTTTACATGTTGTATTTAATTTTATAGTGATGGCGATCATTTTAAAGAATTAAGATTATTTATAGCATTGTTTTGTCAAAGCATACAGTAAAATGTCACATTTTCCTGAGATCGAAGCACATGACTAAAACCAAGAGTGTGTTTTATTCATGTAAACCTTCTTGAAGCATGTTTTGTAGAGTTCTCTGAGGCGTGTAGAAATTGCTGGAGTAACAGATATGTTCAGTGAAGACTATATTTAGCTTGAGCGCAACAGTCGATCACAGAAGCCAAATGGCATCATTATGTTATAATATGAACCAAATGCAAGTGAGATGCCTGTTGGGCAATTGGATCACGAGTAATTTTACTGTCTGTTAACTGTAGGCAACCAAATGTAAAACTAACAGAGACACTGTAAGAAGCAGAATTTGGGATTGAGTATTGAGAAAAAAAAATGTAAATCATAAAATGCAAAATTCTGATTCTTGGGTTCAATCAACAATGCAAGGTCAAGAGCTTGAAAAATTCAATGTATGTTGCTTTAAATAAATGCTCATTAACCCTCATGTCGTGTTCACCTCCAACCACTTACTTTATTGTTTATTGTTCTGTTTTAACTGCTCTTAAATTAGCACGAAAAACATTTTTTACTACCAAATTTTTATTAAACATTCTTTAGCTGTGAATAATGTCTCAAAGTAGTGTTTAACAGGAATTTATAGAATAAGACATAAAATAACCGCATTGAAAATATAAATAGGTACTGAAAATATATTACAAAATGAACATGTAATGTCATGGAGGTAATTAAATGGGAGGATCAACACATCAGTGTGGGAAAGCGATGTGTACATGCAAAAAAACATTGTTTAGTGTGAAATGTGTGTGTGTTCTAGTGAGTTTGTTGGTGTGGTGTGTATGGGGCTGTTTTCAGTCTGATGGATGAATGTAGCAACCCAGAGTCATTCTGAAAATGTACCTCTATATACATTTCTGGAGAGTGCCAAATATGTGCCAGCAGCTATGTTTTTTTGCAGGTTTTATTTTTGCGAATCTACAAGAGGCAGCGTTGTACACTTTTTGAGATCGCAAAGTTCTCTAGCGAGTGCCATTCGCACCTGCTTTTCTCTCGTAAATCCACCAAATGCCACTGTCCACTGACTAAACGACTGACTGACTGTCTCAAGTCCGCCGACGTTCATGGCAAGCTAACAGGACAAACTGGTAACAGGAGGAAAGCCCTCCATACGGGGGTAATCGGTCAGCTGGTAATCACGAAAAGTGCCCCAAACCGCCCCGTATTGTTAATTTTAAAAATAAATTGCAGCCATTCATATGTCTGGCTATATAATTCGCGATCTCCAGAAATGTATATAGGGCTAAGTTTTCAGAATGATCCTTTGTTGCAAGATAGTCTGGATATGCATTCATTTCCTATAGCCCTGACTTTTGACCGAAAACACCACAGCTGTAACAAAGTTGATTCAAACACTCAAAATTCAATGAAAGAGTCCAATGAAAGAGTAAGTTCAAGTGCATAGTCTGGAGGATGTCATAAGACATTAAAGAAATCAGGCGTAAAACACAATATTTATGAGTGTTTTAAGTTGTAAATCCACCAGATTGAACCAAACATGACAAAAATGTTCATCAATTATATTTTTCAAGCAGCACTTTTTTTTTCTTTTGAAGTTCTACATGTAAATCATTCCACTTACTAGATAGTTTATCATAAAACAAAGCTCATCCTTCTCGATAAATCATGAAAAAATATTAGCAAGAATGGAAAAAAAAGATCTTGGTTTTGATTCCCAGCAAAAGCATGAACTAACAAAAATCTAATGCAATCTAAATCCCTTTGCATAAGTGTCTGTCAAATGCTACTTAAAATGGTGTTCATAGACTTTAAACTGTACATTTAGAATTCACTTTTCAAAGAGGGTAGCTCCAACTGGTTGTTTTTAATGGTCTTGAAGACCTTGATCAGCTGGATAATGTGTTTTCTTAAGGTTGAAGCTGACCTTTACAGGACAGTGGCCCTCAAGATGCAGGTTTGGGCACCTCTGATATGTACTTACACATGTGCATATAAAACACATTCAGGTATTGGTATAGAAGAAAACAGCAGAGGGAATGCAGCAGTAAAGGTCAACCAGGACCTTAAAAGTCCTTCAATACTACAATCACACTAAAGTGCGAAGCTGAGATTTGCTGCTAAAAATAGACATGATAAGTGATCCTGCTTTACAAGTGGATAAACATTTTCATTCAGCCAGGCTCTAATAGTAAAGGGAGGTGAGGGTGCACTTTCGAGGGGGCATATGGAGAAGCTGAGGGGAACCAGGAGTTAAGGCCAGCCTCATTGTGTTCAGTGGCAAAGGTGTAAACACACTGACTTTTGACCTCTCACATCAGAGCGGGTATTTTCACAATGCTTCAGAGTCTAATGCGTTTGCCAACTCATGTGCCACATAGCCTGACAGAGCAAAAACTGATTAGACACACACTATGCTGAGTATCTGGAAAATGCATCTGATTATGGAATCTGCAGTTAAAAATAAAGTTGTAAACACTTCCAGTTCTCTTCAGAACTACCCAATTGCATTTAACTTACAGGGTTATAGCTCACTTAAAAATGAAAATTCTGTTTTTAACTATTCACCCTCATGTTGTTCTAATCTAGAGACTTTTGCTCATCTTCAAAACACAAGTATTTAAAGTATTTTAGATGAAATCCGAGAGCTATCTGACCCTTTATGGACAGCAGTGGTCCTGAGACCTTCAAAGTCCGGAACTTAAAACATTTAATGAGACTTCAACTGTAATTATATTAGGCTCCAAAAACATTTCTGTGCACCAAAAAAAAAAAAAAATCATAACAATAATTAAAAATGTTTGTTTGCCAATGTGTTCTCTTCTTCGTAAGGTCATCAGGGTGTACATTTACTATGGCACCATTATAATAATAGTAATACAACAATAATAATACCATTTCACCATTGGAAGTGCATCATATTTCATCTAAAATATCTTAATTTGTGTTCTAAAGATGAACAAATGTGATTAAAACGACTTGGAAGTGAGTCATTAATAGCAAAACGTTCATTTTTGGTTGAACTAACCATTAATAATGCAACACTCTGTATTTAGATAAAGCATCTGTTAGTAAATTTAGAGCCATAAAAAGATGTTTCAAGTGATATTTATTCAGTGTCACACTCACGCCATGCTGATGACCATGAAATCAAGCCAGTTCCACGGGTCCCGTAGGAATGTGAAATCGCCAATGCAGAAACCTCTGGACAGAACCTTTACCATTGCCTCAAAGGTGTAGATGCCAGTGAAAACGTACCTGTAGGGATTCAAATAACATGATAAAAGTCTGTAAACATGTCTCATTCAGTTCAGAATGTTAATTAGCTAACTGTTCGTGCACTTATTTCAAAAGCTTCACAAAATATCATATATAACAGGCCATGCCCGCCCACCACTCCTCCATAGTAACTAAATAACTCTATCTTTCAAATGATACAGTATGACTTGTTTATTAATTCAAACACAACCACTTTATGAACATACAACCAATTTGGTGTGGGAGGAAATACAGCATAGTATTGCAATATTTTATACTGCAATATTATATTGATACAACTCTATATATTTCTATATATTACCAATATTTCATTATACTTTTTGGTTGAATATTTAAATCATTTACCTTACAGTGTACTAGATGGTGGTTTTGAACTTGAGTTTTATTTTGTGAGCTTGATCACCTTCAGCATGCAGTGAATTAGCAAAATCAAGATCACATGCATACAACATTTATGGCAATTTTTCATTAAGGTGTTGGTCAGTTTGTCGACCATTTTACATTGCAGCAATAAAATTGAAGTGAGTTAAACAAACTGAAACACATTTCTGTTTAGTTAGAACAGATGTTGCCAGTTGGAAAAGCAGTAATAAGCAATATATCGTGGAATATCAAATATATTTAAAAATGCTGTATAATATAATATTGTACCCTGATGCAAGTATAATGATAAAACTGTATCGTGATCCCCACCCTTAATGTTCCCTTGTACATTTTTTTAACTGAAATGCAAAGCTGAATGAGACGGCAGTTTGCAACAATTCTATAATAAAGCATATGGACGTTTAAGTATATATCTGAATAAAAAAAAAGAGTAAGGATAAGTAGTTATGTATGTATGCACAGTGCTCAGCATAGTTGAGGACCTCATTTTCAAAATGTATATTTGTATCCATTTCTCAGTGAATATAGGCAATGCATTTTGCTGCATTTAAACAAAACAGATTTATTATACAGATATATTTATTCAAATAATATTTTAGTCACCAAACATATTTAGAAATTGAAAGATATTACAATTCAAGGAAAATATTGCAAATGAAAGAAGTTTTTCAATTGTTTTGCTTGTCTTATATTTTCCTTATTTTTAAATTTGTATTTAATATTTTCTATAACATAAATTTGGATGTACTGGTTTTTGGACCATCATCGTAAGTTCTTTTGTTTTGTCTTCAGTACTGACTAATGTAATGTATATGCACAAATATATGATTGTATAGCTTCCTATGCTGATACACTGTAGGTATGTATGCATGTTTGTATGTATGCATGTGTGTATGGACGGATGAATGTATGGATGGTATATTTAGGAGAGATGGTGCAGCTCTTACTCTAATATTTTGCTCCAGCCTGGAGGGTCGCTCATCGCCATGAACACACAGTTTGTCAGGATGGTTAGCATGATGACTAAGCTAAACAATTTGTTGTGAAGTGAAGGAAAACAAAGAAGGAATGATATTTGGCTCCTAATTAAACCAAAAAGCCAGAGCTTTACAAATAAACCTGAATTGTTAAGTCATACACTACCGGTCAAAAGTTTGGGGTCGGTACGATATTGAAACGTTTTAAAATAAATGTATGCTGCTCACCAAGGCTGCATTTATTTAATCAAATATGTGAAATGTTATTTCACTATAAAATAACTGTTTAAAAGTAATTTATAATTTAACATAATCATTTATTCCATTGATTTTAAAGATGAATTTTCAGCTCAATGTCTCCAGTCTTGAGTCACACGATCCTTCAGAAATCACTCTAATAATAATAATATTAATTATTATTACTATAATTAATATTATTATTATTAATGGTAATAATAGTAATAAAAGCAATAATGACTGGAATAATAATTTCAATCAAGCAGTTATTTAAAATTTTGATAAATATTTAACCATTTAACTTTTTTTTTTTTTTACATTTAATAAATGGCGCCTTGATGAACAGAATAATTTTCTTTAAAAAAAATATAATAATAAAACTGACCCTAAACTTTTGTAGTGTACATGAAAATGAAAAAACATGAAGAGCATTGTTACATCTATTCGCACACACATGGGTTATACTGAATAGGATATGAGTGTATGAGTATTCTTATGGCAGCTCGTCGAACAGGGTTGAAGGGACTCAGACAGTAACAGGCTGGTTCAGTGTTGAATCTGTATATCGTGTTCTTTTTGTCTATAACGATGAACGTCTGCGAAACAGAAAAAAAGGTACAAAAAATACCACATGAGCGGGTAACCATTATTCTGATAACCCATATTTGAACATATTTACAGACTGCATGTGTAAGTGTGTGCTGCTTTTTACTTTTTGTGCTTTGTAGTACGGATCCAACTCTTCAATAGGAACATTGAGGAGATTTGGTGGAGGGTCTCCATAGATAAACGGCAGGACTTTCCCAGCTTCCAGATCACTGGTGGGTTTGGGCAGATCCTCCTCGGCCACCTTGACATTCTGCTCCTTCATGCGCTCCTGCTCGGCGGCTTCCTCTGCCATCCGCCGATCAATCTCAGCGAGCGACTCCAGAGTGAGGGGCCGAAACACATCGGTGCCTGTGGGAGGGAGCAGACGCGCCATCTTGACATTCTGCTGGACGAGGGCTGCCACCACTTCGGGGTCTCTCAGCTGCGCCCTGCAGACACAGACAGAAGAGGACAGGTGTACAGTGGTGTTAAAAAAAAGACTTTTTAAAATCATTATATCTTAGCCGTAGTCACAGTGTTAATTTTGCCAATTAAAAAAGGGGGCAAAAATGCCTATGGCTTGAATCAACTCCTGGCTTGAATTTTGACAGGTCCTCTGCACTAGCAATGTGACTGAAAACTATGAATGTGTGTACTCTGATCGGTCATTCTAATGAATCAACAGTACAATACCATTAATAAAACATGACTAAAATGTAGTTACAAAAATGAAAAACACATTTGTGGTATAATCCGCTGCATTCTGTTGATCACTCATTAGTTGAGCTGATCAGACCTTGTGCTGGTGCAACAGACCTGTCAAGTTTCAATCAATTTTCGCTAACAAAATTAACACTGCATAGCAATCAAAGTTTTCACTTTATATATGATTATTCACATCGAGGTATGAATTCAGCATGCATTTAGAATGCATTTCTACCAATAGGGAAAAACCATGAAGTTATAATTTATATGAAAAAACGCATTTATTTCTATTTATTATAATCTGTCTTCACTGACACATTATAAAGTGTTCGATCAAATTTAGAGAAATGCATTACATTACATTAATGTTTAACTGTTTATAACATTGTAAAGTATTTTTTATGTTCAGAAATACAGATGTTTCTAAACTGGGATATAGGGACCCCCAGGAAGGCACAAAAATGTGCCAAAAAAATTTGAAAGCAAACAAACAAACAAACAAACATAAATAAATAGATAGATACATTACTATAAAAGAAAAAAAAAATATATATATATATATGTGTACAAAGATGATTAAATAAATGTGCAATTTAATATAGTCAGTAAAGTTAATTAAAATAATATCGAAAATACATAATGCATTGAATTAAAAAATATAGAATTTTAAATATATAGAGGTGTTCTTAAAAGTTTTCATGTGCTTTGCAGAATCGGCTAAATGTTAAGAATTTAAATTTAAAATAAGACAGATCATGCAAAATGCATTTTTTTATTTTATATTTAGTACTGTCTGTACTGAGTAAGACATTTTAGAAATAATTAACTTAAAAGACAAATAAAACAATTAACAAGACAAAAAATAAATAAATAAACTGCTGAAATTATCAAAAATAATTAATTGCAAAAGTTTACACACCCTTTGGTTTTAATCCAGCACTGACTGTACGATTGTTTTCATGCTGAGGACAAAAGAGTGACTCAAACACAATTATTAAAAAGTTTAAACACTCACTGATGCTCCAAAAGGAAACACGAGGCATTGAGAGCTGAGAAGGGAATCTGAAGCTCAAGGTAACTTACTTAATTTGTCTTCCAGAAAACACGCAAGTATTTTTTGTTTATTTCCAAAAGAGCAGTACTCAAAGAAAAAAAAAAAAGATATTTCAACAAAATAAGAATAATTTGAACATCTTCATCCTGTTTTGTTGTTTTCACTCCCCTCAGCTCTTAATGCCTCCATGTTTCTTTCTGGTGCATCAGTGTGTTGGGAGTTTCTCAGTAATCCTCAGTGTGAAAAGACGGATCAAACAATCATACAGTTACTCATGCAAAGGCTTAAAATCTGCAGAAGATGCCAAATAACCGAAGAATCTTCAGTTAAACACACACAGCTCAAAAACCTACGAAAACTTCTGCAGGGGGTTATTTGAATAATTCCAGATATGTTCTGATAATGTCAGCTATATGCAAGCATGCTTTATCTAAAATATTTTACTCAGGAGAGTAAATAAGGTAAATAAAATAAATAACATGCATTTCGTATGATCTCTGTTATTTTGTTTAAATTCTTCACATTTTAACAGATTCTGTAAGAAGTATGCAAACAAATTTTTAAGCACAACTGTATGTAATTTGATATATAAATTAAACCAAAAAATATTTAGAGAGCATTTGCGTTCTAGGATTGGGTCTATCGCACAAGGATAAAAAGAGAAATAATGTTTGCTAAAGAGACATATCATTATCATATATTTTAAATGTGATATGACTGTTTCATGCAATTGTGAGATACAAATGACACATTAAAAGTAATAAGGTCTGACACACTAGTATAGGATATTTTTTTCGAAAAGTAGCAGAAAACAAGAACCGAAAAACATCACTTTACCAAAACATATACTATTTTACAGCACTACTATTGCAGCATCATCAGCAACAAACCCAAGTCTGGTTAAGTAGCACAAAAAAATGAAGTCATGTTTATAGATCCAGCAACCTTTCTTAGCTTTCAAACTTACAGTTGTCGAGGCGATAATTTTTGTTTGGTTTTCTTAGCTCTGCTTGGGTGAGCAGATCGGTTCTTTCTCCAAAAATCTATCAGGTTGATCTTTGGCTTCATGGCTGCGCTTCTCAGTTTCTCCAGACAGTTACTGTAAAAGCTTTCCACAAACTGAAGAACGTTTCTGCATGCTCAGAAGTTTGTGGGATGCTTTTTTAAGACCCTGCCCCTTCAGAGTAACAACACAATTTGGAAGACAAAGAATCGATTGAGGGCATGTTCACTGGGTTGTCCACAATTGAGCAAGTTTCCACTGAAGACTTTAGCCCAGATTGTCTTATGTGATCACCACAGTTTGAGGAAAACAGGGTTGTGCAGCAGAGAAAATATCTGTTCATTCACTCGTTCATATTCCTTCGGCTTAGTCTCTTATTTATCAGGGGTCATCGCAGCGGAATGAACCGCCAACTTTTACGGCATATGTTTTACACAGCGGATGCCTTTTCAGCCACAAGCTAAAGCACCTGGAGGAAACCCACGCCAACATGACAAGAACTCCACACAGAAATGCCAATTGGCCAAGCCAGGACTCGAACCAGCGACCTTCTTGCTGTGAGGAGACAGTACTAGCTGAGCCACCATGCCGCCCAGATAATATTTGTATATGTAGCAATTAATCAAAAGGTTTTGTATCTAAATCTGTTCATTCCACCCTTAATTTTTCAAAGCACTTTATGCAATGCAGACTGTGTCAAAACAACTGTAAAACAGAAAAACAGTAGTCGGGTATAAATTTATCAATGTAAAATACGTTCAATACATCAAACAGTTCCAGAAGTTTCCACTGAGACAGTTCACTTATCTTTATTTTCACTTTCAAAATGCATTATGAGAGTTTGATCTCCGCCCTGATAATAAGTGAAGTTTATTTATAAACTAATTTCAAGAGGATCACATGGTTACGATTGATCACAGCTGGTCCTGCGTTAGCTAATGCATGATTCACCAATCAGATGATTCCTAACTCATTATAAATGATCAGAATTCCTTACCTTGGTCATCTTCGTCTTGAAGAATCCCCCTTTCCACCCCTGCTCCTCCTTTATTTATTCTTGACAGGGTGGCATGGCAGCCCAGTGGTAACACAGTTGCCTCACAGCAATAACGTCACTGGTCCAAGTCTCTAAAAGGCCAGTCAATGTTTCTGTACGGAGTTTACCCCTTCTCCCTGTGCTCACGTGGGTTTCCCCCGTTTTCCCCGGTTTCGTCCCATAGTCCAAAAACTTTTGACATAGGTGGAACCAAACCAAATTAGCACCATGGACGAGCTCTTAATTAGCAGTATAGCAGGACAGTTTGCGAGACCTACCTGAGTTCAAACTCCTCTCTCGCCCTGCAAACTGGAGGGAGCCCTGGGCTCGAGGATCTTATAAGCTCAGATCTTATGAGCTTATGAGTCTCCCGGGACAACATGCCAAACACTTAGTATAATCAATCATTAGCTAAGTGTGAACTCTTGAAATTTTATACTTTTTTTTTTTACTTTGACATTTTCACTGATTTTAAATCGCACCTATAAATAACAAGCTATAGGAAACTGCAAATTAAAAGGTATTTTTAAAGTAGCATCCAAAACCCAATACTGAACTTGCTCAAGATAACCAAAATGTACTGGATCAGGTGCACTACGTAGTGGACAATGTAATACCCACTAAGGTAATGCCCATGCTACTATGAAGGTTGGGTTTAGGGTTGGGTGTAGATGTTAAAAACAGACAATATAATGGGTAGTTTACAAATTAGTAAAAATTATTCTCGTTTCTAGAAGCAACCGCCGGCGCATACACATCCACTACATACAGTATCTATTGAGGGCATGTTCACTGGGTTGTCTACACCACACACCATCCACTACATATTGGACCTGATTCAGTATGTCATCATGCTACAGGCTGCAGCAATGACATGCTCAAAATAGCCTTTAACACCTGTACTTTATAGAAATGTAATTGATGCAGCTACAGTCAGGTCCATGAATATTTAGACATTGACACAATTCTAACATTTTTGGCTCTATACACCAACATTCTTAAAAAGAAGAAACACACCAGTGAGCTTAGCAACACCAAAAGACCTGAAAGACCACGGAAATAACTTTAACCCCGTAGAAAACACCCTTCACAACAGTTGGCCAGATCAAGAACACTCTCAAGTAGGTAGCTGTATGTGTGTCACAGTCAACAATCAACAGAAGACTACACCGGAGTGAATACAAAGGGTTCACCACAAGATGTAAACTATTGGTAAGACTCAAAAACAGGAAGGCCAGATTAGAGTTCTAAAAAAAAAAAAAACTTTACAGAGCTGTAACAACATCCTATGGAGAGATGAGACCAAGATCAATTGAACAAGTGTGATGGGAAGAGGAGTATGGAGATAGAAAAGGAACTGCTCATGATAATAAGCAGTGAAGCATGGTGGTAGTAGTGTCATGGCTTGGGCATGTATGGCTGTCAATGGAACTGGTTCTCTTGTATTTATTGATGATGTGATTGTTGACTAAAGCAGCAGGATGAATTCTGAAGTGTTTCAGGCAATATTTCCAGGTCATATTAAGACAAATACTTCAGAACTCATTGAACAGTGCTTCACAGTGCAGATGGAGAATGACCCAAAGCGTACCGCAAAAGCAACGAAAGAGTTTTGAAGGAAAAGAAGTGGAATGTTATGCAATGGCCAAGTCAATCATCTGACCTGAATCCGAATGAGCTTCCATTTCACTTGCTTAAGACAAAACTGTAGGGGAACATGCCCCAAGAATAAGCAGGAACTGAAGACAGTTGTTGTAGAGGCCTGGCAAAACACCACCAGGAATGAAACCCAGCGTCTAGTGATGTCTATGTCTTCCAGACTTCAGGCTGTAATTGACTGGAAAAGATTTGCAAGTATTAAAAAGTGAAAGTTTGATTTATGATTATTATTTTGTTCAATCACTTTTGGACCCTCAACAAGTGGGAGGCACATTTGTAAACTGTTGTAATTCCTACACAGTTTACCTGATTTGGATGTAAATACCCTCAAATTAAAGCAGGCAGTCTGCAGTTGTAGCACATTTTGTTTGTTTCATTTTTAAATTGATTGTGTTGGTGTATAGAGCCAAAAATGATAGAATTGTGTCGACGTCCAAATATTTAGGGACCTGAATGTATATTATTATTATATCTAATATCTTGATTTAGTATATTCTTCGATGCTAACTTACCTGCCCTCTTTTCAATTCTTTCTCATTTATACACCACTCACAAAACTCTGTTAGATGGTGACATGCTATTAGCTGTTTAGGCCTGTGTGCTCAAATGTTAATACTGAGATATTATTTTATTAAACTAAAGACTAAAAATGAGGCTATATGATGCACCAATAAGGCTTTTCCATGGCCAATTTTGATTTATTTACAAGCAAATTGGCTGTCTTTTAATACAGGTTTCTGTTATTTAAAAAAAAAAAAAAATAAATAAATAAATAATATACATATATATATATATATATATATATATATGTATGTATGTATGTATGTATGTATGTATGTATGTATGTATGTATGTATATATATATATATATATTTTTTTTTTTTTTTTTTTTACATTTTTTATGAATAAAAATTATTTTATATAAAAATATTGAAAAATATTGAAAAATAATAATAATTGAATAATAATTTCGGGTTTGATGTATACTGTAAATGGCTGTGTGAAAAAGTTGATTGGCTTTATTACAGGCTAAATCTGCAGTGGTTTCATATTAGAGGTAACAAATGCTGGAGCACCACACACTATATTGAGTTGGTGATTTATACAGTAGCAGATTGTATAATTTCTAAATATGAAGGGGGAAAAAACAATCTGACATTGTTAGATTATGCTACATAAAACATACTGGCACAAATCTAAAACAGCACAATAGTCTTGTAAATAGCACATTACAACCATTTGACTGATTAAAAACTGTAGTTGAGAGTGTGATTATAACAACATACAATTACAACTTCAAGTTCCTTTAACAGTGTAAATATATAAATATTAGTCATAAAAAGTATTAAAACTAAATAAAGATATCTGGTCAAGTCTGATTCCTGAAAGCACTTTCTGATGAGTCTGAGCATATGATCGGCATATGTCAAGCACTCATTTCTGAGAGACGTACAGTAGTAAGCTGCTGTTTTGATTTGTTCTTGTTATTGCGTCAGCGCTGGTCAAGTAGCACCATTCAAATGTTTCTTGTAAACTCCACGCACTGGCTAAATCTTCAGTGACTCACTGCACATGAACGTAGGTCATGAGAAAACCACTGTTAACTTCCCAGAAGCTGCGTTATCAGGGAGGCACTTACTACCATAGAAAACACATTCCTATTTACATTCTGAAGGTTTACAGCAAATTATTGTATACTGACCATCTGATACACTGATACAGACACACCCCAGCAACCTTTTTTTAAATTTAAAAGAAGTCTAAAAGATGTCTAATAGACATCTAAACATGGTTGTCTTAGCTAAAACAAAAGGTAAATCAGTAAAAATCTAATAGACATCTAAGAACAGGCCAAAATCAGACTATAGTCATCAAATAAACAGAAATTAATGACTATAAAGTCTGAATAATCTGTCAATTTGAGAACTAGTGTAGTTTTGGGATATTCTTAGACGTCTATCAGATTTTTACTGACAGCCCAAATTTAACCTTGTTTTAGCCAAGCTGTCCATGTTTAGATGTAGTCTATTAACAATAACATTAAATGCATACAAGTAATTCTGAAAACAACAAGGCACAATTTGACTGGCTGCCTTTGCTAAAGTCAGGTTACAAAGAGTCAATTTCAGACCAACAGTGTTGAACTAAAATCGAAATTCCAAAACCCGAAATCAAAGCTTAGTCGAGACTTGCTCCAAGATTATTGGTTTGCCTCTGTAGAGCCAAGAAGAATTACATGAACAAAGTGAAAAACAAGGACTTTGTTCAACAGTTTCCTCTCCTCAGTGTCAGTATATTGTGCATGTTCATGAGAGTAAATGTGCTGTTTATGTCAGAATCAGAATTAATTATTTCTAAAAGATCAAGTGACACTAGAGATTAATGATGCTGAATTTTATTATTGCATATATAATATATATAAATTCATATAGAATAAAATATATTCACAGAAAACAGTTATTATGCGTCATTATTTTAACAATAAAACATATGCAGGTCTAAGATATAATGCCAGGAGAATATTTTCATCAATATTTTCACATTAAATATTTACATGTAAACAAA